TTTCTCCCTTGTCACAGATTATAGCAACAACATACTGAACGTCTCTGGTGAATCTTGTCAGTGTTACCATGGATATCATGGCCCCAGTTGTGAACATTATGGTTGCTCATCCAACCCTTGTCTGAATGGCGGCAAATGTTCTGAGGCAAACGGCACATTTAATTGCAATTGTCTATTTGGCTACTATGGCTATACCTGCCAACATCCTTGCAAATCAGGTTACTATGGTTTCAATTGCTCTAATAAATGTAATTGCACGGAGCATGGCAGCTGTGATGTAGCCACTGGTGATTGCCATTGCAGGCGAGGTTATCATGGGGCAAGCTGCGAAAAGGTCTGCAGTCCTGGGTATTTTGGTTACAACTGTGCGCAGAGATGTCAGTGCAAGAATGGTGAATCATGTGATCCGAAACTAGGGTCGTGTAACTGTACCGCAGGGTGGACCGGAGAGGTGTGCGATAAACCCTGCCCATTTAATACATGGGGTGTAAACTGCTCCGAGAACTGTTCGTGTCAGAAGTCGGCCACGTTTTGTGACAGATTTACAGGGAAATGTATTTGCTTGCCAGGATATCACGGAGAGTAAGTTCAAGGACTTTTTTTTCGAAAGATGCCTATACATGTTGCTATTCGCCCCTGAAAATGATGCTATTCAGTGACAGAGTTAAGCCCAGCTGCATGTCACAGTTACCCATTTATACACTTAATCGGACTCGTGCATATGATTTCAGACCAAATTGCACTCCACTGACTCAGATCAGTTATCATTATTAATTGGATATTTGACAGCCACAGTTTCTTATCAATAAAATTAAATGCTCCCAACTGAGCCGCTAACCGGGTGGAGGTTTTCTCATACACAGCGACATCAACGCCTGATGAATACCAGTAGTTAGTGTTCAAAATATCACAGTGACTTTCGTGAGACAATCGATAAACGAGCCCTCCCATGATGTTCGGGATCAGCAATCGGATGTAAATGACCCTCCAGGCCCCAATATCACTACCGTAAATGATCTAATTGACCCCCTTCTTAATTAAACGCCTGTTGCCTAGTAAATGCCCCTTTACGATGTTAAGTTTCTATTAGACGCCCCTCTCTAACAAACGCCCCCTGTCTAATGGGACGCCCTCCGTGAAAGTTACTCCTAAATACTAGGAATTAGCAAAAAGGAGCAACATGATTTAATTTATTCAGCTTCTTCCTTGATTAACAAATGTTTGCACATTGCGTCTTGTTCAATGTCAAGTTCAAAATAAGAACAGACTGATGATAGAGCGGTTTTCACTTGAATGTCGTAAAACCAAAACCAAAGTAAATACACTAGCCAACCAAAGGGCGTAGTAAAAGCAAAACCAAAACCAAAACCAATCCCTTTCGACAGTCAAGTGAAAACCGCTCTAACAACGCAATGACCCTGAACAGGAATTCTGACCTCGAAGGTGAAATTTGAAAGAGCGAAAGAGCGATATGGTTTTCTAGACGCCTCCTATGTATTGAAGGAGCTGTGTCACGAAATTCAGCCAAATTAGGTAATTATAAAATGCCTGTTGAATTAAGAGAAACGTAAAAATAACCGCTTAAAACATTAAAGGAAGGTTAAAATAACACAACAGTTACAACAGATGCCACGGATGGGCAAAACGGAAGAAGATTGAAACGGATTGAAATTAGGGTTTTTGAAAACTGTTCAGCCTCACAGTTTTTCAAAGATGATCTATGCTGTTTGCAAATTCAAAAATATTGTTCAGGAGGCATATTTGTTTGTCTCGAATCTCTGATTTTGTCATTTCCATGCAATTTCCTTGCTTACTTTAAGTTCCATACCGATCGAGGGCGAGTAATTGGCAAAATTAAACAAAATGACCTGGACTGCCGTGACACAGCTCCTGGTCCCCTCTTGGACCTCCAAAATTAAATTAACGCAGCGAGTGTCAAGTAGATCATTTACGGTATGCATATTCCCCATACTAATCTCTATACATTGTTTTATGTTACTGATGTGGACAATTTTTTGTTGACGATCAAGAGCTTTTTAGTTTGTCATTTCTTTATTCTCATGACCTTTCTGTTTCATTCAGTAGTGGCACGGTAAAGAAAAAATTTGATAGTGGTCTCCCTTCTCAGGGGTCGGAGGATTAAACACTGGACCATCACCATTTCACTAATATACCCCTAGAAAGGCATTAATCACGTTTTCTCATTTGCACAGTGAATGTCAATATCCTTGTCCATCGGGAACGTATGGCGTCAACTGCAGTTACGATTGCAAATGCCAGAACAATGCAACATGTTCCAGAATAGATGGCACCTGCAACTGTACTCAACCAGGATGGGCGGGGGTGCTCTGCAATCGACCCTGCCCTGGGGGGTCATACGGGGTCAACTGTCTTCGTAAGTGCGAATGTCGAAATAGTGGAGCGTGTGATCGCAAGACAGGTCAGTTTTATGTACACGTACCTGTGATGTTCATGTGTTTGAATACTTACAAGTAGTCAACCCTCTCTTAGGGTTGATTTCCACTGCCGCGTATTAAATTTTGACGTCCGTAAACAAAACGGAGACAATGTATGAAACGCCGCGCCTAAACGTAAAAGTGCAGCGGGGTTCAACTTTTACGTTTACGCACGACTTTCCATACTTTGCCTGTAATTGCAGAATTTGCGTGCGTACTAGGCTCGATTTCCGCCGTCTCCCGGGTCCGGTCTTGATCCGGGCTCATTTTTTCCGAACAGCGGCTGGTAATCGAGCCTACGTGCGTACGCTCGTAAAAAAATTGCGACCGTGGAAATCCACCCTAATCCGCCCAAGTCCACACACAGAGTGTTCGTCCGTCGGGAGTAAAATGGATTAAAGAAAGGCAGGGACCAACTCTAGTGTCCGTTTTACCGAGGTGTCCGTCTAATAGAAGTGACAGTTAACCCTTTAATTCCCAATAGTGACCAAGATCAATTTTCTCCTAGCAATATCCATACATAGTCAACAGATAAGTTATGAGAATTAATAAAATGATCACCTAAGTAAAATTGCCGTGATCTTTTAACAAATTCTCTTAACTCATTCTTTAAGGAAATGTATAGAGATCAGTTTGGAGAATTTGTATGTAGATACTGGGGTTTTGATATCCATTTACAGGATCCTGTACCTGCCGGAGTGGTTTCTTTGGTCAGTTCTGTGACAAGCCTTGTTCTCAGGGCTTCTGGGGCCAGAACTGCTCCATGACTTGTTCGTGTGTGAACGGTGCGCTGTGTAACTCTGTAAATGGTCAATGTACCTGCCGAACTGCTGATGGCTGTCAGTGTTCTCCAGGCTGGACTGGTAGCGACTGCTCCAAGCCTTGTAATGATACCTCGTGGGGAAGCAATTGTCAGAATGTCTGCCAATGTCAACACAATGGAATCTGCAATCAGGTCTGTCAAGCTACAATTCTGAATGTCATGTAATTGCTTATTACGAATCAGGGCTGTAACTAAGGGCCAGGGGCCGGGGATTTCCCCTGGCTACTATGAGCACGAACCCCGACTACTTTAAGAGAAAATAAAGGGAAAATAGAACATAAAGAACTTTTGGATCAATTTAGGTTCCTGGGAACCCCTCCCCTAAGTCAACATGAAAACTTACTTCTCACTTAGGGCAAAATGTTGGCTTAGGGGAGGGGTAGGTGGGCAGTTTCCCAGAAACCTAAATTCATCCCAACTTTTTAGCTTCTCAGTTTCCCACCTATGCATATGCCCGGCAAATCGAAATCCTAGTAATAGCCCTGATGAATAGTTGCCCGACTACTGTGGCTTACATCACAGCGATTTATCATGGGATGGAAATCTAGCAGTAGCTTTACGTATTCCTTAAATTATGAAAGTAAAAGTAAAGCGATTGGTGCACCAAATGCACTTTTCAAATAGCATTTATCCCGCGCAGATCATCTGCCCTGTGTATCTTCTCGGGTGTGCGAGTGGTTGATTGGAGTGTCCGCACAAGCCTTTTGTTCTTTTTATAGGAGCCCATCGCCTAATTAAACTGGTTAAATAATCTTGGAAGTGAGGACCACAGAGCCTTTATCTAGATGTTCAACTGACATGTTCGATTTTGCGGAGACAGTAGATGTCGTGGAAAAAGTAATCTTATATTACACTGAACGTCTGTCACACCGCGACACTTCTCAGTAACACTGCTATGCACGATAACTAAAGGAGAATAAGAATACAACCACGGACTTGCACACCCGTTTATATACGCGACTGTTTTTGTTTATATTGACCGTTAGCAATCATTTTCGTTCAACAGGTTAACGGCAGTTGCCTCTGTGTACCTGGATACAAGGGTCCCAAATGTGAACACTCGTGTCCACAGGGCTACTATGGTCAGAAGTGTGCTTTTAAGTGTGGATGCACCGCCTCCCAATCTACAGGCTGTGATCCAGTCACTGGCGTCTGCACGTGCAAGCCTGGTTTTACAGGGCCACATTGCGACGTTCCCTGCCCAGCTGGAAAGTGGGGCTTACACTGTTCACAATCTTGCTCATGTGACCATGGAGGTTGTGACCCGCTATCCGGAAACTGCACTTGCGATCGAGGCTGGAAGGGTCAACGTTGTGATCAAGTCTGCTCCAACTGTGGTCAGCCGTGTCCAACATGTTTCCATGGAAATGGATCCTGTGATCAAGTCTCTGGAAAATGTCTGTGTTTTCCTGGTTACCAGGGAAGCTCTTGTCTAGAGGCCTGCAGTGTGGGTTACTATGGAGACAAGTGTCAACAGAAATGTGATTGTGCAAATGGAGGAACGTGTCACCACGTGACTGGGCAGTGTCTGTGTAAACTGGGCTGGACTGGAGCGCAATGTAATCAAGGTAACTATAATTGCTGAGCAGAAGGAAAAAAATGGTAGCAATAATTGCAGTTAATTCAGGATGGTTTTGCTGTTTGCGAGGTTTGCGAGGTGAGCATAAAGCGCAAGCACAAGCGCTAAACGCAAGCCCCAAGGAGGCACAAAGAAATTATTTCCATTTGGTGCTCGCGTGATTTATTTTAAGAAGATAAAAGCTTTTCTAGTGTACATTTTGTTTTCATGAAATCGTTCACGACAAACGGTGTTTAGGTAAAAGCGTCGGGCGAACTGAAAATGGCTTACAACGTGGTTTAGTTAACACTGGCTAAACTCCGTTTAAATAGCCGGCGTCGCTGATTAAAACCAGATAATTGTCACAAAGTCCTTCATGAGCAGTTTATCAATTTATAACCATAACGTTTAATATGATGTTTTGGCAGCCTGTCCTGAAGGATCATTTGGCCATAACTGTACGCAGACATGTTCCTGTGTTCGTGGAACCTGTGATCCCATAAATGGGTACTGCACATGCCCAGCTGGTTACCATGGCTACCTATGCGATAGGCTGTGTTCAGGTGGAGCTGGCTGCAATGAGAGGTGTCAGTGTGCCAATGGAGCTAGGTGTGACTACGTGACAGGCCAGTGTGTCTGCCCTGCTGGATGGACTGGTAAAACGTGTCAGCAGTCTTGTCGCCAAGTGTCGGTTATTCCCGGAGTATTTGGGGCGAATTGTTCTCAAAGGTTAGTGTTCTTCATTAAAGGCCGGCTTACACGGGCGATCTTTGGTGTGATTTCAAATCAGGCGTGCAAACTAGCGGCAATTTCTTGGCAACATGTGGCTGCGAGGTTGCCGCTAATTTCGAACGTGATCGAATTGTGATGCGATTTTCGCAGGAGAATTACCGTAAACCTACCATGACGTTGAGTTAACGCGAGATGCGCCTCGTTACCTTAAGAGCTAACGTACCTTAAGTGCATGGTAGCTGGAGCGCGTATCAGGTCTTACGACAAAGAAAGTCTGCTAGCAATCCCTTGCCACGTAGTCGAGTGCTTTGCTCTACCGAACGAACTTTTGACTCTGTATGTTCTCGCTCCTTCTTCTGACTTGAAAGATTTCTACGAGAACGATGAGACACGTGATACGCCATAATCTAAAGTATGCGGAGTCGGCTCGCTACACACACGCTAAGAACCATATTATCAGTTCTTGCTAAAAATGGTTTCAAAATCCAAAGCAACAGGATTTTTGTTATTTAATGAAAGAACCAATCTATTAACACAAGCCTAAATTACTGTTTCTTAATCAGGTGCATTTGTCCCGGATCATGTGATCCAGTTACCGGAAGCTGTTCTTGTCCACGTGGATTCCAAGGTCCAAACTGCCAAGAAGCCTGTGCGGATGGATGGTACGGAGCAAACTGCTCACAGAGGTGCAACTGCATGAACAGAGCGTCATGCAATCACGTGAATGGCTCGTGTACATGCACTCCTGGATGGTCTGGTGTTAATTGTACGGAGAGATGCCCTGCCGGGTATTATGGGATGCTCTGTGCTTCCAAGTGTCAGTGTAGTGTAAATGGGACCGAGGGCGCTTCATTATGTAATTCTGTGACTGGCGAATGTAACTGCAGTCTGGGGTATCACGGTTACAGGTATGATATTGCTCTGTTTTTAGAAGCGAGGCTACGTTCACGCGACTCCGTGTGCATTAAAAGACACATACACTCTTATGGTTTACCGCTATCCACGCGATACAATGTACCGTTATTTATCCGTTTACAAACTCATCCACTCAGGATTCACCAAATATCCATTATTGGTATTTACCAAATCAGTGATTAGTAGTTTTCGTGCGTTTTTGTAGGCTCCCGTAGCTCAGATCATCCTTGGCTATTTACTGTTTTTAGTAGGTAGTCAAAATGGCGCCTAGTTTTGCGATAGCCTAAGAAGGCGAAATTTTAGCGATAAATGAGGCAACTGTTGCAAGAAAGCTACGAAATTTGGCTTGTCGGTGTTTACTGCTGGGAAAAACTATTTTGTCACTGAATTTGCAACTGTTTAGCTTTGAATCGAGGTTCTAACTTTAAATTTCTTAGAAGACCGGGTATTTCTCGGAGTTGTGGAAAGTATCATTGGTTAGCTATTGAGAGGAGAAGTCGTTAGTTAGTACTACCATGGTAACGTGACGTCACACTTCTCCTCTCTATTGTTTGTTGTGTGGGTATTGTTTAGTGTCTTTTCAATCTTTCGTAATACGTCATTTTGTGATCGCAACCGTCCGCAACACTGAGAAAGTACGCGAGGATCTTATTCGTAAACTTTCAAGTGGAAGCTAATGAATACTGCAATTTGTTTTCCATAGATGTATTTTAAGTTCTAAAATAAATTGAACATTTTTTTTTGCGTGACCTGAAAATGACTAGAGAGTCACACTAACAGTTCAAAATCCTGGATTCCTCAATAATTCCCCACTTCCCACAAAGACCACCCAGCAAACCTCACAAATAAGCGTTTATAAATAGGGAGCTTAAGAGTTTTTGAGCCACGCTCGTCAAGCGGAAGTGAGGCATTTTCTCTTTTAATATGCCTTGACGCTACCAACTTTGTATTGCTGAGTTTCTTTACTCTTATTGAGAAGATTTGCCCAAAAATTTGGGCAAAAGCATCACCCAATAACGCAGGAAGTCCACCTCCGGTTGATGAGTGTAGCTAGTAGTAGTAAACCTTTATTTAACTAGGGTAATCCCTTCAGAATACTTAAAAGTATATCTGTTATCAATAGGAGCCCTAAATTAAGACTAATAAAAAAGTTCAAAATAAATAATAAGAAACTAAGTAACTATAAGTTAATAATAGTACGGTATAACAATTAAAACTAAGCTCAAAAAACTTAAACTAAGCTAATAACCGTCTTTGCTTAAGCTCGCTAGTAACGCCTCTCTACTTTAACTTAACAGGTGCGAGGAGCAGTGCCGTGAGGGTTTCTATGGTAAAAACTGCAGTCAGCGTTGCCAGTGTCAAAACAGCCATTCATGCAGTATTACAGATGGGTCCTGCACCTGCAAGCCCGGTTACTACGGCGCAGCGTGTCATTTGCCGTGTCCCAAGGATCGCTACGGTGCCAACTGCAATAACACCTGCCAATGTATCTGGTCCAACACCCATTCATGTGACAGGATTGATGGCACATGTTACTGCAGAGACGGATACATAGGAGTTGACTGCGAAAGTGTGTGTCCTGAGAGATCCTACGGGCGCGACTGCAATGGAACGTGCACTTGCCGGAATGGTGCTGTGTGTGATCACGTGAAAGGCACATGCGCGTGTACGGCCGGATTCAAAGGTCAAAGTTGCGAGACTACCTGCGCCGAAGGCAGGTTTGGTGTGAACTGCTCACGTAAATGCCTTTGTCGGAATGGTGCGAAGTGCAGTCCTTTTGATGGAAAGTGTTATTGTGCCCCTGGTTTCTTTAGTAAATATTGTGAAAATGAATGCCCCAGTGGAAGGTATGGAGTAAATTGCACAAATATTTGCGATTGTAACCTCAGGAACAGCCCAAAGTGCGATCCTAAAACTGGCGAATGTCTTTGTTTTCCTGGTTTCGAAGGACCCAGATGTGACGAGGTCAGTGTCATGTACTGCAAACAGCTTATTTTCTTTAAGCTCTAATGAAATAACTCTCTCATTCGACCAAGTCTTTATCTTTAAATTGAAAAATGAGCCAAAAACACAAAATTAGCGTTCCTGGGCCGGGAGAAATTTTTATTTGATGTATACGTGCGCTTAGTTCAGTTGAGAAGAGGCTCTACCTCGCAGTGGATAATTAATTGTGTTGTTAAGTTATTCGTCTGCCGTATGCAGTTAAATGGAACGAAACGCAAACTGGAATTTCCATCCAGATGGAAATCTTGTGCATAAACATAAAACTAAAGAATTTGACGTGGTTGAAGAGCGACCCGCTAAAAAGTATATCAAAATCAGCAGAAAAGACTGAAAAGGGTAAAAAAAATTGCATCGTCTCAAAACACAGCCCATATTTTCTGAAGCTTCCTGAACGGAATGGCGCGAAAATTGTTTTGATTGTGCATCCGAAATTTCTGGTTTTCCCATCAAAATGTTCTGTTTAAGTTCTGCACTCGTAATAAACTAAACAACACAGTTTACCTTCAACGTGACAGAGCTTATCACTCTTTGTCAACAGCCTTGTGAAGACGGCTTTTACGGAAAGAACTGCCAGAAACCATGCCCCGTGTGCTCAAGTCATGCGATCGGTCCCTGCCAGAAAGCACATGGAAACTGCTCATGCTCTCCTGGTTACCAAGGATACCGCTGCTTTGATGACTGTGGCTTGCAGCATTATGGTTTGCATTGTAAGCAGTCGTGCCAGTGTACAACTGAAGAGCTGTGCCACCATATAAACGGCTTGTGCTTGGACATGTCCAGAGGGAAATTTTCTCTGATTGTAAATGACACTATTGAAGAACTCCATGATCGTGTGCGGATGAGAGACATAAAGCGCGGGCTGGAAAAGTTGATGGAGCTTTATTTTGACGAGAAACCATCCGACGATGAGGTAAAGTAGAAATGTTGGAAGGAGTAGGTATTTGATTCTTTCAAAAAGTTTTACGATGTAAGCGAACTTCCCATGATGGACCACAGTAATACCAACGTGTGGTGGTCTCTTACAGGGCACACAAGCTATACACATGCCGTGGGAGAACTGTTTTGTAGTTCCTAACCAACAGCTACCACTTGTGCATGGTGGAGCTGGCGCTTAATGGGGTGCTTTTGCTCTCGTACGGCAGTAAACGGCGGGGTCGATGCTTGCAAGTAAGAACTCTCGCCAGGGGCTGTGCGATGCTGATGAGTTCTAATGAGGACGAAACAGCTGTCCATAGCGGCCACTGCCGGGGTGATATGGTTATGCGCAGGCGTTAAGGTACTGGCCGTACCGCGGAGATGGTGCTTGTGCTTCAGTGCTGAAATTGGTGATCACTTATAAGAGGTTCCACACGATCACCTCGTCCTCAGGCCATTTCGCGCCATGTAAGTGGGCTGCGTAGGCTTGGAACCGAACGCGAGATTAAATTCTCCGGACAAGCCTCCAAGCGTCTTCAAGCGTCACATCCGAACTTGCTGGGACAGACTGGAAACGAGCCCGGATTCCAGCTGTTAGTGCAGCGTTTAGATAACAAAAGCTGATATTGGATACTAGGTAGCTCATAAGAGGCTGTTACACTTGTAGTTTAGATAGCACTGTCTTTTCTTATTTGGCATAAAGAAATCTGAAATGTTTGTCTCAGTTGATCTACCTTTTCCTGGTCTTTATAACTCTTTTGTGTGCTTAGACGGAGACCCTTTGTTTCTCATCGCCTTTTTCTGTTCAGCTGTATAAATAGGGCAAATGAAATGAGTGCGTGATGGCTAGAATTTAACCTACGATGGACAAGGATCGCGCTTAATTGTAGAATACGCGGATTAGTTTGGTACCTTTGTTCTTGTAGATGGTAGAGCAACGGGCAAAGCACGTTGGCGCGCGAAAAATCGTTATGGAAGGCTTATTGTTTTGGATAGAGAAGCGATTTTGCGAATCCCCTTTGCTCGTTTTTGCTTTGCCCTCTTTGGAAAATAAGCACAATTTATTATCTGAAAGACCAGTTTCCATATCTCGTAGGTTGCCGCAACGACTGCTTCCGAAGATGGATCGGCTTTAGCTCAGTCTCGTTTAGACGTGCTAGACGGTGTTAACGGGTCCTCCACGACAACTGATCCTCCCACAAGTCGTTCATCTGTTCCCGCAAGCCACAATAAAGAGAAGCAATCCACGCCTCAAAATGTGAAGCATGTGTTTATGGTGCGCTTACTTGAGGATGAGATGCAGCCTGTTGTTAAAGAGGACTTAGGCGATGCCACTCGAGTCGTGTGTGTTCTACTCGATAACTTCACTGTAGTGGATGGTCATTACGTGGATGAGGTGCTGTCCAGGGTACCAAGCGGGATGATTACATCGGAGCTTCAGGTTGAGTACTACAGTGGCAAGCTGTATAAGAAGAAGACTGGGTCCAAGGTGGATATGCATCTACCGCTCATCATTGGCGCTTCTGTTGGTAAGTAAAGTGCGCCCTCGAGGGAAGGGTGGGTGGTAACACTGTCATAACGAAATGTCAGTGGCGGATCTAGGGGAGAAGCCCGGGGGGCCCGCCCCCCTTATTTTTAGACCAAACTGAGGCCCCAGGGGCCGAAAACAAAATTTGGGGAGACCGCCTCCCCCCCAATTGTATAAGGGTCTGGATGACCGCCCCCCCCCCCTCCTCCTTATCTCAAGGTCTGGATCCGGCACTGAATGTTTTCTTATAAGTGAATTAAAGGGGCTCTGTCACGGCTTTCTTGATCATTTTTTACATCTGCACCTATTTCAGTAAAGGTTGCTCTCGTGAAACCATGATCCATGTTGCATAGCCAAATGTTTCCCAAGCATATCAAATATTCCAAAAAAAAAATGAACTTTGAAAACCTGTCAGCCTAACAAGTTTTCAATTCACACAATTTCTATCCGTTTCAGTCTTCTTCAAGTTTGTCCATCCGTGCCTTATTTCCTATGTGCTCTGTTATTTATACCTTCTTTTAATGTTTTCAGCGGTTATTTTTACGCTTTTTGCAATTTGGTGGCAGTTCCAACCGTTTGAATTTCGATACGTTTCGGGACTCCTTTAAGAAGATTTAACTATAATTCAATTCCTTGAAACAATTTCCTCTCATGATTTTACCACGAGGAATAATATTAATAGCATTTTTGTCCTGGACAAGGGAAGTTAAATGTGGAATATTCAAATAGTTCAGTCCGGGAGTAAAGAAATAAATGTAAGGAAGATCCTCACAGTTAAGGTCGCAACTTATGCAGTTTCGAAAAGAAAACCTGAAAAAATTCAGGCTTGCCGGGATTCGAACCGTGTCCTCTGCGATACCAGTGCATTGCTCTATACTAACCAATTGAGCTAGCAAGCCAACTGGGAGCTAGGCCCAGTTGTTCGAAGGCCGATTAGCGCTAACCCCGGGATTAAATTTTAATCCTTGTTTCTTTATTTTTTTTCTTTTCAAAAGCATCTTCTCGGATAAATGAATGAAGAGTCGTGGATGAGAGGACAACAGACCTGTCCTCTCACAATTATACATTTTAACATCTGAACAGTAAGCTCGGACGTCGGCATACAATTACACGTCCTTAATCCTTAATTGGATAGTTCATCAAATTACCAATTACCAAATCCAAATCCTAAATCCTTAATTGGATAGTCCATCCAATTACCAAACTGTGGACAAAAAGAATTAAACTGAATTTTCTTTTTAATGTGTCGTATCTGAATTCAAATTTCACACTAGCCCTGGGTTGGACATTAAATACCAATCCATTAAATACAAATACCAATTTAAGCTTAGTTGGTTAGAGTGCTGCACGGGTTTCGCAGAGGTCAGGGGTCGAATCATGGCAAGCCTGATTTTTTTTTTCAGGCTCTTTTTTCCGCACCTGCAAAAGTCAGTTGCGACTTTATCTTCGAGGATCTTCATTACATTTATTTGGAAGTTGAATCTGTTGATCTGTTGATTAAAAACTTGATGGAGTTGCGAACGAAATTGCAAGACAGCAATACAATTTATGAAAATATTGAAGGCAAATATGATGTGTGGAGAAATGCCTGCAGAGAGTCAGAATTGATGAATCGTTTTCGCGATCTGGGTTGATCGATTAATCATCTGATTCTGTCCATCTTTATTGTGTTTTCACAGGGTTTTTCCTCATAGTTACAATCATAGCCTCGTTTGCGCTTATCCGTCGAAGGTACAAACGTAAGAGCGGATTTGCTTCGTATAAGAAGGGCAATACAAAAGATCAGTCCGAGTTCGAGCTACAGCCCTGGATTGGTCGCAATACAGGATATCTGCTTGCGTTTGATAACCCTTATTATGACGTATTAGCCGCCATGGGGCTGGATGATGATATAGAGGAGGACTACTATAACCCCTTGTACGATGATGTGAGTATGTACAGCGACAGCGGCGAGAATACTAGCGAGGAAAGCTGTCATAAAGATCTTAGCTCCATGGTTATACGGACATGATGTTAGAGAGTAGGTTTTGATTGTGAATTTTAGATCGAAACGAACTGGTATGCCTCTAGCCAGTTACGGGCGACGCAGACAATGCGTCATTTGTGAGTGAGTCTCTTTTGATTGGTGGAGAACGTCGCTCTAGCCAATAACAGACCAGTTATACAGTCTGTTAGAAAACAAAGCAAATGCTAAATTACTGGGCTAAAACTTGCTTTTCTTATCTCCAGTATATGAATAATGTATATATATAAAGCGCTATTAACGCATTTAGTGTACAGAAAATTGAGGACATATTTTTACGTAACTATACGTTGTAAAAGCGTACTATTTTTGTACCGTTTATGACTCTTTTGGACTCCTTTGCCACAAGTTTCGGTGTTGGAACCACCCCACAGACCTAAGTAGTCTTTCAAAGGTCTTTGAAAATGCTGTGTATGGTGTTGACCTTAAAGAGGTGGCAGAACTATTTACTGTATGTAGGTCCACTCCCTTAAAGGTGCTTGGGTCCTTTTCGGGTACATCCATTGACAAACGATGCACTGGCATTTCAATAGGCTATCCCAAATTAGTAAAATCCAACTAGTGGTCTATTATCAATGCTGCGTTCTGATTGGTTGAGCTACTACTAGGCTATATGTTATAGCCCACTAGTAGCGAAAAGCGCGGGCTTTTCGGCGGCAAAAAAGGATTAAAGTCTAGCTTTAACTAGCTAAAATCTTTTTATTCTCGATATTTTTGACCAACTAGTTGGATTTTACTAAAACAATTATTCCTCTCGCCCTCATGGCCTCTGAGTCAATAGCCCATGAGGCTGAAGGCCTCATACTCGGAGCCCATTGGGGCTCGAGGAATATTTGTTAAGTATTTGTTTCAAAGCGAGGCTAAGTGGCATTGATATGGTTTTATTGTCATGCAAATAAACCTTATTTTGACAACATCGCTTTTGCACTTGGCCTCGTTACAAAAGAAAGAATTTTTGGTTCTCGGAAATGCCTATATACTGCCAAGTTTTTAAAAGCATTAAGTTTATTTTGGCAGTCTAATTGCAGTGGTATTAGAATAAGCAGTATTACATCAATGTTATTCTTCTCAGTTGTGTAGTTGTGTAAGGAGGGAACTTAAACATGTCAGCCCTCTTTTATTTTTGTGCGCTGTTTCTTTGAAACGACACTGTAAATGTAATTTTTTTGCCCTCAAAGTACATGGGAGTTCTCCTCCACTCCTTTGAAAGTGTTCGTGCTTTTCAGGTCAAATCTGATTTTGGAAGTGTTGGGTTTGAGGAGAGGGGAAATCTAGAGTACCCGGAGAAAAATCTCTCCATAATATAGAACTGATAATGGAGAGATTTAGGGTTTTAGAAAATAAGCAGATAAAAACAGCCCAGAACAAATCTTATCGATAAAACTCTCGTGAACCTACTAATTTTTGTGCAGAAGTAATGAACAGTAAAAGACAAGAAAACGGAAAACTTGGTCACGTGGTACAAATTCCTCTGCCGTTTGCCGTAAACGTGATTCTTAATCTCTCCAATAACTCAACCCAGATTTGGCATAACACAGGACAGTAGATAATCCAAATAAACTGAATTCCATGGCGAAATACACCAGAGATCCGATGAGAAGTATTGACGCTATTTCGGTTTAATTTAAAGCATTATTAGGAAGAGAAAGCGTGCGGTTTCAAGGGAGGCTGTCATTTGAAGAAGGAAACTTTAAGCCCAGAGTAAACAACGACTGCCTTAAACCGAAAGATTGAAATACTTATCCGATCCCTTGGTGTATTTCATCATAAAATTCAGTTTGTCCTAACATCCTTGTACTATTAGAGGCCTTTAGATTCTAGGACGAGAACGACTTCGATTACGAAATTTGACGTAAAATATTTTGCGCATATTGTCAAAGCATAAATACCACGGAAAACTTCATTACACCTCCTACCATGCACACTGGTAGGAGGCTAGTGCTCTAATCACAGTCTTATCAGTTTCAATGACTCAAGGAATGACATCATTGAATGACTTTGATAAATCCGATATTCGTAGTCTCGACAGTGAATTGGAACTAGTTTGAAGTCAAAGATCAACAAGCCACCACAAGCCTCGACTACACGTTTCAGTTCAGTAATGAGATACTGCGAAGATAGGTGAGGTTGCAGACAATCCGCACGTACGTCGTCGTCAGTCGTGACGTCCAGTGAACGCAATAAGAAACTTGGGCAGATAATTTTTACGTTACTTTTTATAAATTTTTCTTATTGTTTAATGTTTGATGTCGGTTCAAAGCTGTGATTGTTCCTCCTTACTTCCACGTTCAATGTCCCTTCGACGAAAGAAACATCATGATTTTGTTGGGTGTTTGTGAGTCCTGCCATAAGCCTCCACGCAGTCGTCTTCCTTTTCCTCAGGAAAAGAAAATATTTGCTCGAGGTAATTCCCAAAAATATACAAAATCAGAACAAAAATAAAGCTAAGTTGTGGCTCGTCGAGGTCATGTTAGAATAGGCCACTTCCGAGTTCCAAAAACCCTCACTCTCAAAATGAGGCTAGGTGCACAACTGAATTTTTTTTTTTATGAGAATGAAAATGATTTCCATATCAAAGGCTGAGCACCTACCCTCGTTTTGAAACAGAGGCCCGGGGGAACTTGGAAATGGCCTATTCGATTTACTAGACTTCCGTTCTCATGCTTTAACCTAGGACCTGTAACATAACTGTTTCCTTTGCTTCACATTAAATGTGAAGAGGAACAGTTACTGATCTTAGTTAGCAAACTGCACGCTCTAAGCAGACAAAAACGTTTTGACTCTTAGTTGAGAGAAAAAGTTGAAATTATTAAAATATTGTACATTATTTATATTGAGCTGCTAACACCATATTTAAACTCCTCAACCTCTTGCTCACAAAATAAATGCGAATTAAATTTGTACACTGCTGGGTTCTTTGTTATCTTCATCCTAGTACAGTCAACTCTCGCTTTTACGGATACCCCGACAATACGGACAGAAGCTAAATCCCTGGCCAAAAACAACTTGCAGACGTTTGGCTGAAATCAACTTCGCTTAGGTTTAGCTACATAATTCCCGAAAAATTGTCTAAAATTCTTTCCGGAATTTCCCGCCAAAAAAGGTCTAACATTCTTTTACACCATACACACACCACGCGGAAAATAACGTCATGCAGCCGGTCTTGGAGCACATAGAGGAGTAGGTTCTTTTTCTATTATAAGGCCCACCTTATGCTATGTAAACGCTGCAGAACACCACGAGCCTATGGTGGTTCAACATCAGCGCCTATTTCGCCTACGTCAGTCGCTTTTCGATAAGAGAAATAACCGTCTTTATCAATTAATGAACTCTCAGGCATTTTAGAATTGTTGATGTCAAGTTTAAAACCTCAACAGCAGGGGCAAGAATAGTTTATAAATTCTATTATTATTCATTCAAAATATTCCCCGGATTCTGATTGGCTAAAGCACACGCATAATTCACCATAACAAACTACTCATGACCAAATTTGGAAGAATTTTGCGATTAATCAACGGATGACGTCAAAAGTGCAGCTTCCTTGCAGGTTAATGCACCGTTAACCGAGAAGACGAAAGAACAGAGAAGGTTGTGAAGACAAAAATAGCAGACATTTCACTCGTTTCAAGAGTAAGAACTAGGGTAAAATAGTGGCTAAAGACATGGCAAGAACATCAAGAAGACAACTCGAAGGGCGACATCTGCTATTTGAAGAATATTTGCGGAGCTGAACAACCCTAAACGTGCACTATCGTAGAGGAACTTATCATCGATGGAGGTAAGAATGTTTTAGCTATGTTTTTAAACTAGGAATTATTTTAAATGAATAATAAAACAATTATCGAGTTCGTCTTTCGTATCATGTAAAGTATATTATGGAGATCTGGGAGGGTGTTATCCGCCGATAACACCCTCCTCGATCTCCATAATTCTTCATAAGATACTCAGCCTCATTCAGTAATTGTTAATTATGAAATATCCTTTTTTAGTAGTGTTTACCGTATTACGACCAATCAAAGCGAAGACTAGGAAAGGCGAGCAAGCCACCAAACCACATACTAATTACCGTCACCGCTTTGCAATTTACTTTTCCCTCCCCTGATTGGCTTTTGCCAAGAGAGGATAAAGGGGACAGAGAAGGCATCCCCCATACATACCCTATTCCATGGGGAATTCGTCTCAAGTTATTTTTAGAATCGGGATAAAGTTACCTCGCGCGCTGCGTGGATGTTTCGTGGAGATTTCGCATGACTAAACGTGCAAAAGGCGAAAGGCAATGAAAGCGTAAAGAGATCGAGAGCATTTCTGAATATTGAAGCGAAATGAGTCGGCGCTCACCTGGGAAAAGGGAATCGCTCGACTCTTTGACAACCCGTGAAATCAGTTTAACTCGAAGTTATCGTAACCTCAGAGCTTAAACAAAATGAGAAATTTCGCCGGTCTATTCAAACCGGTCGTTTGTACAATAAAGCAAGTAGCAAGTAATATTCATGTATATGTAATTAGTTTTACAAATTTGAATTTTATTGTAGTTTTTTTAAGTTGTTAAGCGCTGTTGATCAGTGAATGTAAATAGCACTCTAGATATTATCATTATTATTATTATTATTATAGGACGCCAAGTGTTATTTTCGTTGAATGAAAGAATAAATATCAAACCAGAAATTGCTCTCTTCAAACTGTAAACTATAAATGATCCTGAGAGAATATTCACTGTGTTAAGGATTTTCCTGCTGTACTGTTAGCAAGAAAGGAAGGGGATTCTTTTTTAATTTCCGTTTCACTGACACAGCTTTAGCAGAAATCTCTCTTCAGTCGTATTCGTCGACAAAACGAATAGCAATATCGCTCTCCGCGTCTTCCGCCATTTTTTCTGCCTCAATTTGTGAAGGACGCGTGGCTCAGAGCGTGGGTCATCCTCGCGGAACACATTCGCGCTACGTCATTGGCTGTTGTCTAATCCCCCTTGGGATCTGTGGTCTTAAAAATAACTCGAGACGAATTACCTATGGAATAGAGTGTGTACGGAGGATGCCTTCTCTGTCCCCTTTATCCTCTCTTGCTTTTGCCTGTTAACATAGTAATATTTTTAGAAATATTTCTGATGCGCACGGTTTGGGAGTTTGACAGTAATCTGTTTTGTAGGCTGTCCTGTTATAATATGGCAAACAACTCCAACTGGATCGAGTTCCCATAACCCCCTAGGACGTTCTCTCAGTGAGATTGGTTTCGATTCTTATTACCCTGACTTCCTTTCTCGGCAACTTTTTAATTGTCTATGTTGACTCCAGACTCAAGAGCTGGACAAATATATTCATCCAAAACCTGGCATTGACTGCCATTTCCATATGGCATCGCTGCGCATGCTTGTATAGAGGGGCTTGCATTTTCAGCGAGAGGTGGTGTGAGGTTCAAGCTGTGATTGAGGCTACTTTAGGAATTGCTTCTATACTGACTATGGGTCTTATCGCTTTCAACCGATATATAAGGGTAGTTAAACAAGCGCTGTACAACAGACTGTTCCCGAGCAAGAGAACGGCACGACTCTACCGTGGGGTCGTACGGATAGCTTCTACGTTTTTTGCAACACCGCCATTGTGCGGATGGGGAAAGGTAGTGTACCATCGTCGATATGCTATCTGCAATTTTGTCATATGTTCTGGTAATCGTAGGCAGTGGGAACAACACAACCACAGCTGCAGTTTTTTACTGCTACTACAAAATTTATAAGATTCTCAAAGAATCTAAATGTCCATGGCACTGATGATGCTGTGGCCTCATCAAGACTCCCTCGACCTGATATTAGAGTCTTGAAAACCAGTTTCATTGTCGTTTGTGTATTTCTAATGACGTGGGGACAATTGAATGTTCTTGTGATATGGAGTCCGCTGCGATTGTGGTCCCCGGAGAGGTTTCTACGGCACTTATTTTCCTCATGTTCACAAGTAGTTTAGCAAATCCAATTATATATATACGGGATTATGAATCCTCAGCTCCAAGCGGCCTTTCGGTGGTGTGGCAATAACCAAATAAATCAGAGTGGCCAATCTCAATCTGATGACAGGGGCACCCAACAGGAAATTTTGCGAAAAAAGACCTAAAAACAACAACAAAGCATGAATTTAGCTTTCGGAAGCCATTTTAAGCGTTTTGAAAGATTACTGGGAAAAATTATCTGTTCTTCACTCCCAATAAGACTGACGGACGAGTTCCCAGACATTACTGACCAGTTTGGGTGTGGCCATAAGGCAGAATTCCTACCTTCAGTGGGGGGTTTGGGGGGGGGGGGGGGGGGGGGGGAACGTTTCGGACAAATAACCCATACCAAATAATCTGCACAATACATCCCCTCAAAAGCCCTGAATCTGATTTTCCTCAGTATTACGTGCCATTAAAGGACATATTACTTCTTCCTAATCTCCCAGACAGCAAATATTTGCCTGAAGAACGCATATTTGGAGGAACAGATCCATAGGGTACCCCTGTGATGAGGCACCAGGCAAAACGGCTATGCAAAACAAACATTACTCTTCTGCATTTTTTAGCAAATAAACCGCGCCGTGAACTATCAGGAACTAGGAAAAACAGAAAAATCTTTTTGCACTGCAGAACTGAGCTCAGCAAGACAAGGCATAGCAGGAAATCATCATATTCATATTCATTCATTCGGGAGCCTTATCAAACCATAAGAATGGTTTATTTCATCTTAGGTATTTTGAGAACGGACCTCTGGAGCCAGGGTACCGCTCCAGAGGGGCTTCGGTAGAAATTTTCCCCGGCGAGGATTTCCAGTCATTTGGTAAATCGAGCGTCGTTATCAGGCTTGTTTTTGTGTTCTTTGCATGAGAAATTGCTCGTGATTTACCGCTAGTAATTGAGTAAACATTCGCAGAATCAGCTCTTCATGAAGAAGACACGATAGTACGCCATGTTGCCTGGAAACACAAAAGAGCTCGGTGACGTCACACACTAGATGAGGTCTGGGCGGATACCAAGCGATATACAGATTCATAGAAATATGGGGCGTTCGAGTTTTCAGCGCTGGCTAAGACCAAAGACCACGCGCCAAATCTCGCTTCGAATGAATGACTATTTTCTATGTTGTAAAGAAATTGTATGAGATAAGTTGAATGCCAGTATTATATTCATTAATCACTGGCTTTCTTGGGCTTTCTTCCCTCATCATTTTTTTTTTTTTTTTAAATTTTGTTTACATATTTAATTTAAATAGCAAAATGATAATAAAATAAAATACAAATACAAGTGTAAGGCAGCAACGGTGTGATTAAGAAAAGTACTACGGTTCTTTGCAGAAATTGAGTTATTTTATAAATTTACTCAAGAGCTGGCTCATCCATAGATCTACATGTTACAATATTCAATTTACAGGTATATTATATACAAGATAAATTAAATTACAATGGGTTTTACTTAAAACGGTAGGTAAAAATTGACGATGAGTAAATCAAAGGTGGATCATCATTGCTCTTGAACCAGCCTTAATAATGGTTTGGAATGCTGGAATTTGTTACGAACAACTCAGGCCTTGGTTATATAGGCCATTTCCCAGTTCCAAAAACTCTCACATTCAAAACGAGGCTAAGTGCAAAACCTTTCAAGTGAAAATTAGTTTTATTTGCATGGGAATAAAAATCATTTTCATATCAATGGCTTTAACCTCGCTTTGAAACACGAGACTTAAGGCAACTCGGAAATGACCTAATGGGAAACACTCTTACGGACGCAAATTTTACTTCTGCATCAAGGCAAAGGCATTCTTGCTTTCTGGACACACACGAGCTTCGTATGGCCGAGAGCCGTATGTTAGACAACTTCATGATTTACAACGCTTTCCCTCAACTGATTGATTTCCTTTTTAACAGCCTTACTAGACAACATTTCCGCGACCTGTTGAGTAGTTTAGCCAGGCCTGAAGACGACTTGCCAGCTAAACAAGATAAATACAATATGTGAAGTTAAACGAGCTACAGACAAAGTTTATAAGAACAACTGGACAGCCCGAATCAATTGGAAAAACATTATTTGAATAAACGTAATCAGCTAAAATGAAGTGCCCTCGCTTTCTTAATAGACCTTTTCTCTATTCTGGTCGACGCCCCTGTGTGCAGTTTCGTACAAACCAGCGTAAAGTTGGTACCTTCGTTTACGGGAAGAGGGGCGGTCTATACTTCCTTATAGACTCATCTAGGCACGTCAGAGTTGTTTACAGCCCGAGTTTGAACTGAACTAGCTGATTGACAGCAACACAAATAGTGTTTTAATAAGCGTGACGCAACAATTAGCGAGAACGTCATATAGCAAGATACCCTAAGGCCGTAGCCAGACTTTGGCATGGACGAAGCAAGATCTACGATCGCCGAAGGCGCGAGCAACTCCCCCAAGAAAATAATGAAAACTAAAAGCTTTGACGGACTGTTTCAGGTTTTATTTCAGAAAAATCAGTCTCATTCAACTTCTTACCGTTTTTTTTTTGAAAGTTTGTGCCTCGTTTTAACTTTTACTAGCTACGGCCCTATATCAAGAAGGATCTTCAAGGTTTCTTTCTCAAACTCATTAATAATTCATTAAGAAAATACAAAGGAAATTAATGTTTAATGAGTGTTTGGAAATCGGATGAAACACTGCTTAGTATTTGCATCCTTAATTTCTCCTTCAAAAATGATTTTGTTTGAGAAGAAATATCAAACATTCGACACAGTGTTTCATCAACAGATGAAACACCTCAAAGTTCGTCAAAAATACTCCGCTGCGCGTCGTAGTTTCAACTCTCTTCTCGGTGTTTCATCTGGTGATGAAACACTGCATCTCATGTTTGATATATTACTTCAAATAACGAGAGTTACAGGGGGTGCATAAGTTCTAGACACGCGTGACCTGTCACGTCTAGAACATCACACCTCAGCTTTTGTTTTCCAACTATTCCAACTAAAAGCACTGTTGAAGGTCTTTCTATTTATACTCTTTCCGGTTAAAATTATTCAACGTACAGTTTCACTTTTTGAAATAGTAAATAAATGTTCATATAAAACACTATTGAACATATTAAAGTTGCACACAATTGATCCATGAAGTAAAACACGCATGTTTATCTCTCAAAAGTTCAATACATCCTCTGCAAAGTCTAGATCTGCGCCACTTGCTTGGGAAACTGTCCGATCTGTGGTGAGAAGGTCATCCAACTAGAGTAAAAATGGGAAAACAAGTCAAAATTTATGGGTATTAGGTTGTGACGATTTCAATAACAAAGCAACGCAAACCAATCAACCAACGCTCTTTCGAGCAGCACCTCTGACTTTTCAGGGGCGGATCCAGAAAATTCAGAAAGGGGTGGGCGGGACACTAAACAGCTCTATCCTAGATACTTTTTATTTTTCTAAACCGGAATTCTATACAAATACAAAATTTTCATAGGAAAAGGGGTGGCCGCAGCCCCCTCGGCCCACCCCTAAATCCGCCCATGCTTTTTAAGAAGTGAGAGATTTTTTTTCCTTTTTGCCAATAACTCGATAATAGACCTGTCTATAGCGATGGCAGCCTAAGCAATTTCAAAGCAGGTGAAAAACTACCCCACCAATTTTTGAAGGCCTCTGAACAACACGGTCGTGTGGCGTCGCTCACCAGAGAACTGTGGAAAGTACAGGTCTTGTTTTAATTTCTTACCCTAACATTTGGAGGCGAAATGCGGAAAAGAAAGTAAACTCCATACCGATATTTATCTTTTAACACAACAATATTTTTAGAAAAAAAACCCTAAGTTTACTCTGAATTCGTTATGTCCCTCCCTCGTTGCAATAGCAACATTATTTTTTTATCTTTTATAAGTCCATATTCCAAACTAAAATGAATCTTAATGTTAGAAGAGTGTTATCTTGGGCACCTCCTTCCTATGGTCACATTTTCTGTTTTGGGAAATTCGCAACTTTAATCTGACGTCTGCGGTTTGCTGTAAACGTGACTCTAAGGGCCTGTTTACTTAGAGGACCCCAGAAAGGTGAAGTAACATGTGGCGGGTCACCCTACCCATCATGTAAACGTGATCAAATTAAAATGAGAGATTATAAGGACAGGTGGGCATGTAAACAGGCCCTAAATCTCTCAAATGACATTGATTATGGTAACGCCTCGGTGACAAACTTCGAACAACAAACCTTGGCACTTCCGCTGTGGAAACTACTAAGTGACAGCTGCTCATCAATGTCTTCAGGAATGCTTATATCACTGTTTCAAAAGAAAAAGTGAAAGACACGTATTCAGTTAAAATCAATACTTTCTGTCCACAAACACCTTGCAATGCAAATACCATTATATATCTATACCTTGTTGGATTAAAGTCATCTTCGTAATCATCATTGTAATCAGCTGCTTCGCCATTTTTTTCTTCATCAGGGATATCTGGCAAGCGGAACAACTTAGATTGTTATCTGGTTACTTGCGGTTTTTATTCTAAGTACTTTTATCCTCATCTGGGGCATCCACTACTGGACTGTGCTCTCTAAGCACACATAATCATTAGGTAGTAGTAGGGAGGGGATTGGGCCTGGGAGCAGCTTGAGTGGCAGGTTTTGAAAGGGGAGGGGAGGGTGGGAAGAAGGGAGGGGTCTATTAGGAAGAGAAATAAATCCTTTCTCTTTTCCCATCGTGCTTTCCTCTCTCTTCCCCACCCCACCCCATCCATTTTTGCGCCTGTAACGGAGTTAAAAACTGTCATTGTAAAGTTGAAATAAATAATGTAATGCTATGTTTATGAGGTCATTTTATTTCTGAATTGATTAGGACCTTGAAAAAAAAAAAGAATAAAATGCACTTTATTTGAATGTCAAGGTATTCAGCACGAAAGTACTGATTGGGGACACTATTTTTATGTCACTCTCCAACTAGAGATGGGACCGCCATTTTACGTGGTCATCCAAACCACTCGAAGGTCTAACTGCTTGCATTGCAAAGGGAGTACCTTCATTTCTCAGTTATTTTAAGTCCCTGAGTATTGGTCTGGCCCCGGGAATAGAACCCGCGACCTTCTGCTCTGCAGTCAAGCGCTTTACCGACTGAGCTAATCCTGCCACAGTTAAACTGTAGTTAGAGAACCAATGATGAATATCTCTTACTGTGAATACATGAAAATAAATGCTGGTGAAACAGATGAATGTGACAGCACTAGATCAACAAGCTTACTGCCTCACAGGAAAATCATTTCTTTCTGCTAACTTTCTATTCAATAGCATGATGTCGCATACCAAATCCAAGTTTGCTGATCCTGCTGTCAATTTCAGCCAAATCCTGCCAATTCGGTGATTTTGTGAAGTCTTCTACCAAAATAATATAGACACAAAACATGATGTTAGAATGTACAAGTGTGTTCTTGAAATAAATACATTACTTTGGTTATGGCTAATTCTTTAGACTAGCTGCCTTTTTTCATGCCCTTTTCTAGGTGCCCTGGTGAGAAAGGGAAGGGGAGGGATGAGGTCCGTGAAAACCAAGTTGTTGCAGACAATTGTGTGTTTATGGGAAAATGCAAGGAAGCGTAATTGTTCCAACATCTCTAACAGGAAAAATATCAAAAGTCCAACTCAGTTTTTACTTGTTTTTTTGTTAATTTGTTGGTTTTCTATCAAACGCCAAGTTTGGAAAAACTGCAGTTATTCTAGCCTTGGTTAAGCATGCGCTATCCAAAGTTGTTGAAAGGAAACTCCACACATTTTAGCAGGTAAACGTGCCAATCCAAGACTGGAAAAGCTATGGAAATCAAATTATCCAGACCACGATGAGCTTAATTTTCAATAATGGAGAGCGAGTTATCCAGGGCAGGGTATCTAAGTTCTCCATTGCCGGTAAAGTAGAATTTCACTCTCAGGATTTAGGAATTCTCCATGTTTGGAAAATGCGATATCCACTCCAGGTTAAGCAATATATCTATGTTTGGTAAGCATGATATATTGCTAGTGTGGGATAAATAAAATCTCATCCTCCTAGTTTGGAAAATTCTATATCCAGTGCAGGTTAAGCATCATTATTAAAAACTGAATCATTGGATAATGTAATTCCAGAGCTCTGTTTGGCTTAGCCATCATGGTAAATGAGCCATTATACATGTACCATGCTCTCCAAATATGGTAACTCTATGCGTCTGCTCAAAATTAAAAACAAGCTGAAAATCGGTTGTTTTTACAAATAAAGTCCGGAAGAATTCTCAATATTTTATGGGCGTTTTTAATAAAGCAATAATTATTATTCTACTTTGCTTGTTGTTGGATATGAGAATGATTATAGCTAACTCGGTGCTACACACCTCGTTGGCAATCTGCCACAGGGCTGTCACTAAGAGCCGGGGCCTGGGGATATTCCTTGGCTACTATGAGTGTGCAGGAGCCCCAGCTACTTTCATAGGAAACAAAAGGAAAACAGAACCAAAAGAACTTCCTTTCTGTGCAATTCCCCTTCTACTAATTGCATAGACCCAGCAACTTGAAATTTTAGCGACAGCCCTGTACCATCTAATATCCAATGCGCACTTGTGGAATACAGTTTTTAAATATATGTTGTAGTTAATTTTTTATCTCAGGTAATTTTTGTTTTTCTTTTGTTTTTGGTTATGGAGATGTATGTTAATGAAGTTGAATCAAAAGAAAAATAAAAATTACCTGAAATAAAAATCCACCCTTGGTAAACTGGTATACAGTGTGGGATAATAAGATCCACTAAATTGAAAAATGTCATTACCAGTTCAGGTTAAGCAATATATATCCATGTTTGGTAAATATGATATGCTGTATACAGTGTCTGATGGTAGTTACACTGTAAGAGTGCTTTTCCAAAGGTCTATTCAGTATTACTGTGAAAGAAACACTTGACAGAAAATTAACATGCATATTATAAGTTTTTACTATGCATACCTCTAGTATTGTTGTTGCTGTTCATGCCAGGTAATGGCGGCACTCCTTTTAATGAACCCAGCCCACTGTTGCCTAGTGATGAAGCGCCCTTAAGAGAAGACAGTCCGCCAGCAGACTTGGATTCTAAGCAGGAAAAAAATAACAGTTAGTTAATAAAAGAAACTTATATTTAGGTAGATATGTGACAAATACAATTTGCTACTATTTGTTATAGCAATTTCTGTTGATTTCTTTCTATCAATTTAATTTTCACATGTCACTCTGTTTTTACTATCTAGTGATTACAACCTACTGATCTTGATGTTGTGTCTGTTGCATTTTGTTTTATTGTTTTTATTTTTATCATCCAGTTTATTTTCAGAATTTTTTAGTCCTCTTTCCCCACCTGACTGAAATGACAATGCCTTTTTCTCCTTTTTATCATCTTCTCTGCAAGAGAAAAAATCCAAGATCTAAATATGAATTCAAAATGAAGTGAGATGTTGGGATTTTCCCGTAATTGTTATTTCTAAGTTCTGTTTAAAGGCCCACCTGAGCTCCATTTTCCACACTAGCAGATGAAAACTTCTATAGCTGTACTTACTTTGTTCTTAATGGTAAATCACCAAATATGTCATCGCCATCATCACTGCCAATGGTTACATCTGGACTTCTACAACAGGTTATTAACAATCCAAGCAAATAATATTATGAATTCAAGGATAAAAATAATATCATAACATTCAAAGCAAATATACTTATAAATTTTGTGAGAGCTAAAAACAAATAAGTACCTTTTTCCATTCTTGTCTTTTCTTGAATTTGACAGTGAATTCTGCTCTTTACCTGAGTTCAGTGTTTCACTTTTGTCAGACTTGTTTGATTTTTCATCTCTTACTCTTTGAGGAATCTTGCTGGGTCTTGGACTAGTTGGCTGTTGAAGACAAAATATTAAACGCTGAACAGTCATATACATCACATAACTACATTCAGCATAAGGTCAAGCAGAAATTATGCATGGTCCTGACACTTTTTTGCATAATTATAGGACTTGTGGTTGGAGTTTCTGAGGGCAGCTGTGGAGGATTGAGAATTTTTATCTCGCACTAGCTTACAATTTGTATGCCTGTGGACCTCAAATCTGGCAGAAAAACTGAGATATTTCCACCTTAATCATAACTATAACAAAATTCTCAAATCTGATTGGTTATCAACTGTCCTGATTTCACCACTAATGGACAGGACAGTACACATCATACCTATGTAACTGGACAGTACACGCTATTGTGCGCTCACTAAAATGGCTTCTTTTCACTGCTTGCAAAAAACCCTCAGAATTTCTTATGTTTAAATTTTGTTATAGTTATAATTAATTGGTAACAGAACTTTGTGTTGTCCCATTCGGTAGATGTAATCATACTCATGATTTGCACAAATCGAACTCCCACTATATGTGATCTTCAGTGTTGTTAATCACTCATATGATTACAGACTTAAAAAAATTGGACTCCACTCATTCCTATTACCATTGCTTACTGACACATTTTGTAAAAATATATAATTATAAATTGCTCAAGTCCCTTTGAATGATTCATCATACTTTCCCCAAAAATCTACAATAATTTTAGAAGGGAAGCACGGGAACTGAGAATCTCAGAAATCTTTGGAACGTCTTCAGAACTCTTTGAAAAATCTTTATAATAATCAGTTCCTCAAGGAAAAATCCTGAAAATCTCAGGATATATATCTCGCACCTTTGACTCAAAATAAACTGGCATGTGCAAGACTACCCTTACCTGGAAGATTATATACCACCCAGTTATTGTATGTGCATGTATGTTAACTAAAGTTTTCTTTCAGAACTGCTATTCTTTATACATCATCCTTTATCACAATTTTACAGAATAATTATATGGACACATTTCAAATATTATTCTAACTTTCAAATCCTTCTTTCATATAAGTAGTTTGTGACACAAGAATTTGTGAAGAGTCTTCAGAAGCATGCACAATGTACACAAAACACAAGATTATATATGAGTTATTTTTAATTTTTAATTAATTTTAATTTTCTTTTAATTTTTTCTTTGCTTGCAAAAGACATTATAATCAATTATTTATTTTAATCACAGTCAAAATTTTAATGAAATTTAATGATTTAATATTTATTATTTTTAATACCCTGCTATCATCATCAGCACTTGCAGTGTCTGAGGTAAGATCACCAACATCTGAAAAGTCTTCATCAACCTTTAACAAAGAATACTTTAATAGGCTTTTGTCTATAAATAAAAATTCAAATGGATAGTAAAGTCTAGGAACATACACAAAGATAATAAATAAATACAGTGTATGTGTGTATTTATGTTTTCATTTTGCATTACATTACTTTCCTTCTCTAATTAAAGTAAAATGTAGTCTATTTCAGTCTTACTACTACAGTCTGTATTTATAAGTATTACTATTAAAAACTGAATCATTGGATAATGCAATTCTAGAGCTCTGATTGGCTCAGCTATCACAGTATATGAGACATTAAACCATACTGTCCAAATATGGTAACTGTACACATCTGCTCAAAATTAAAAACAAGCTGAAAATCGGGTGTTTTTAAAGATAAAGTCGGGAGGAATTCTTGATATTTTGTGGGCGTTTTATATAAAACAATTATTATTCCACTCGCGCTTGTTGGATATGGGATGATTATAGCGAACTCAGCATTACGTGCCTCGTTGGCTATCTACCATCTCATATCCAACGCGCACTCCTGGAATAATTGTTAATTATTATTTTTTTAAATTTAAACTTTTATAGGCAATATGAAGGTAGTGCAATAATAATGCCTTTTATGGTAGTTTAGTTATGTGACGCAACACTAAATTTACACTTAGCTTGAATTATGTTGAAAAGGTGAACAGGATAAGATTTCACTGAGGTGTAGTTAGAAAAAAATATTTCTTAATAATTTGGGGGTAGCAAACCTACATGTACGCAGGTGCAAAGGATTATAATAGCTTAAATTAGAACTGTAAAAGTAAATTATAATAACAATAACAATAATAATTATAATAATAACAATTCTAATAATAATAACAACAAAAATAATAATAATATTGTTCTTATCATTAACATCATTTAATTCATATTTATTGTTATTTCTGTCATTATTTAAGCAGCAGAACTTTTTGTCATTTTTATAAGTAACAGCCTGGCCCCAGTTGTTCAAAACATGGATAGTATTATCCACTAGATAAATCTCTGTCCAATGAATTAGTTTCCCTAAAACTTTTCTACTGGATAGTGACCTACCCAGTGGACGTTTGAACAACCGGGTCCCGGTGAGCCACAGAATGATCAGACATAATATGGAATCCTCCTTAGAATAATATTGTATGCAGTAACAAACAGTTCAGTTGTTGTTTTCATTGTAATGTTTAGTCAGTCCATTAGTTAATGCCACCCAGCACATTAACTGACATATCAATCAAAATTTTAGTACTTTATCATTCTTGACCTATTCAAGTTACAACGATACAGCCAGGGTGAGTGAGACTGGTCAAGAGATGTAGCTGTTGTGGTTCAAATTTGAAAAAAAAAAGAACTCAAAGGAAAATCCAAAGCTTGAACTTTTAACCAGAGACCAAGGGTTTTTATCCCCACTATATACTCTTGTGGGTTATTACATTAACAGTAATACTGATCCCCAAAATCTGGCTGAGGACAAAAGTCAAATACATACTTTCATGTTTGGAGGGCTAGTGCTTCTTGGACTTTCCTGTGCATTATTTCTTGGTGATGTGACTACCTCTTTAGAGATCTTTATAGAAGGTGTGAAAAAAAAAACTAACTGTCAGACAATGAATCAGAAGGTTTGATTGATTTAATTATTTAATTAGCCCTAACTGATACAGTGTACAGGAAATAGGGTTATTTCAATGGAGTTCTTGCTTCCAAAATCAAATTAAAAATTAGTAGTGTTAGTTTTAATTTGAGGAAATGTTAAAACCAGAGAAGCCAGAGAAAAACACTCTGTGCATGACATATAGAGAACCAACATTGTACATGTACTTAGCTCATACTGTACGGGTGTATATCAAAATATAGCACTTATTTTGAAATGTGAACCTACATGTATGCCACATTTTAGGGGTGGCAAATTAAGTGACTTTACCAGACTGTGTCTACCCTGCTCTCTGCTCTGAAAGTTTAGTTAACCCTTTCACTGCCACAGTGGATGATGGAGTTTGTGAGGTGGTTCTAACTTTTACGTGACGTCTGTGGACAAAACCCTATGGTGTGATTATGCAAATGAAATCTCTTTGGAAGTACGTTCATGTGGTGTTATTTGTTTTAAAAAAATTTACAAAAGGAAATTTGGGATTTTTGTGAAATTTGCCTTTGGTCATATTTGGCAGTGAAAGGGTTAATAGGTAGTGTATAAATATGTTGCAGTTAATTTTCTATCTCAGGTAATTTTTGTTTTTCTTTTGTTTTTTGGTGTGGTAATGTAAGCTTATGAACTATTAAAAGTTGAAACAAAGGAAAAGTAAAAATTACCTGAGATAAAAAATTAACTACAACATATAAAAATTAATTATGTACATGTGTAATATGTTGTGTTTTCAATTTTATCTTAGTTTCAATTTAATTTCCCTTTGTTTCAAAGTCATGATTATAAAACAAATACCTCGCCATTTGTACTGGGTGAGAGTCTCTTTATAACTTCAGCCAGTAAGGGTTGGTTGGAATTTCCATCAATATCTTGTAGTTTAAGTTCCCTTGCAAGGTTGTTTCTTCCTGTATACTTGTCACTCTGGAAATGACACATAAAAGTAGTTACCGGTACATCAAAGCTGACATTGTGCTCTAAGAAAACCTAAAAGAATTTATTCTTCAGATAAAAAATTATGCAGTTCTTGTGGGGATCAAGCATCAACATGCAAATTGTACTTTGGAATTGGTAATGTACTATAGACTTGCATTTTTACATTATTTATGCAAAATAAAATTGGGTTATAATTATTTTAAGTCCATGAATTTTCAAGGTCTTTGTTACTCTTTTAAGGTATTTGAAGTTAATTCAAAGGAGGAGGACAATAAAGTATTAAGGTTTATCACTTACAAAATTAGTTTCAGGATCAAAAACAGCAATGGTGAAGTCCAGTTCAAAATATTCCAGAAATTCTCTGACCAAGCCAGTAACAAGACGACCTGCAGTGTACAGTGTATAATAAAAACAGTAACAAAGGAAAACAAAATGAGGAATGCCAAGGAAAAAGGAACTTTATCATTATGGGAAATTGTCTCTGCTACAGATGGGATTACAACTTTCATAGTCATAACAAATAGATTAATCAAGAGGACAAAAATAAGGCTTCTAACCTTCACTTGTATTCAAAAACTTCTTCAGATCGGGATTCATGAGTGGTATTTTACCCTGATAAAAAAGCAATAAATCACGAAAACCATAACATTTGTATGTACAATTGTACATGTTATTGGTAAATCAAATTTTTTACACCGCAGCTACAGGGATGTAGCTAAGAAACAGCTGCTGGCGAGTTTCGCGTGCTGAAAATGAGCTTACACCAGCTCAAATTCGTCTGGTAAAGAAAGAGATGGAGGAACAATCTGAAGGTGCGGTTCAGTAAGAAGCCATGCTAGAATAATGATAATAAGGCAGCTTAGCATTCCTAAGCTACATCCCAGTACGTACTTTAAAACAATTTACAACTGAACAAAAGTATGTGATCTTTACGGTGGTATTTTGGTGTACATGGGTATGTCTCAGGGGCATAGCCAGCTTTTTGACTAGTTGTAGGCCTGGCTGACTTTCATTTCCACATATCCTGAAAATTGCACGCATGATTAGTACACACTGACCTCACCAACACTTTCAGCTAATATAAGGATTTTAGCTCACCCCAACAATGCATAATGTTTATTACATATGGTAGAGTGATGAAACCAAAAATTTGTAGGCCTGGGCTGGCCACGCCCCTGTATCTTTAAGAGTGCACTGACTATGCAAACTGAGAATAAGAATCAAAAAGAATCTACAAAATGAAGGTGTCTAGGACAGAACTTGAATAGTATACATACCTCTGCTCCTTCTTGTTCTTCTAGTGCTAGAAAGACACTGGCTCTTAACTGGGCCTAAAAAATATCAATAGAAATGAAAAAAATACCGACAGTCACTGTACAAATAGAAATAAAACCTATTTAAAATCAACCACCTCATTGCAATTATTGGTCGTCATTGCCACTCAAAGTCTTGTACGACATGGCCAAAGTTATGCGCGAACATTTTCTTTACTTAACAGAACATAATTCCTCATTGAAGACCGAACGATTTCATTCTTTTTTAATGGCTCTGTAGTGTCCATATAAAAACCGGCTGGCAGTTGATTCTAAGCTTAAATATTTTCTACAAAAATTCACTTTCAGTTGCGTCTGTGAAATCGGACGTCAAAACCCTAAACCAATATTGATTGCTACGATTTTACCTCCACTTCTTCTTTTACTAAAACTACACATTTCCTTACCCTGATTTTTCCAAGAACTCCTTTGCTTTCAAGCGTTTGGGCCACCATATCTCTCAACTCTGTGTCCTCTTCCGCCGACATTTTGAATTTTTCACGTCTCCAGTCCTCGGCCGAGATCTTCGGATTCCGGATATTTGGCGAAAATATTTCGGAGATTCACCGAGATGTATCGATTTGCCAGATCCCGGATGCGCGCCAAATTTGTGCCTCACGTGTACACTTATTTTGATTTGATCGCCATATTTGACAAGAAGGCCCGATCAGCGACACTTTTTCATTACAAATCATGGCTGTGCAACCTTGTCAACAGTTTTCTCTCGGTAATGTCGTGTAGATTAAGCCAATCTTTTGTTGTTCTTTGCTTTTGATTGCGTAAATTTTATGCTTCGTTTGCAGATGGAGCTGCGGAACAAGGCTTTCTTGCATTTTATCGTTCCTTGCCTGAGGTACGAGATAATTTAATAATGCTCGTGGTTAATTTTGTGTAAGTTATTTAACGGCTAAGCTTCAGGTAAACTTGCCCGAAGCCTACAACTGTACGTGTGTTTGCTCTAGAAAATGTGACATCTCTTTTTTGTTCCTTTATTTCATTAGAAACCAGAGACAACTTTTCGTGTGTTTGATCGCTCGGTGAGTAGATGGTTTAATGTTGTAGTGCTCCACAGTAGATCAGATGATCTTGGTCACTGTCTCCTATCGCCCCTCCACCCATAAATAGCTAGACTTTTCATTACCTCCCACTCCCCCTATCTATCTATCTGCCATTAATTTGCCGCCATTGGTCAATAAATCAATTAAAAATAAATAAATAAAAGTAGTCAAATAATATCATACTCTAAATTAAAGGTAGTTTGTAAAAGCCATCAACGAAGAGGCATTAAATGTCTCATTTGGCAAAATGTTCCACTCTTTTATTGTTCTTGGAAAATATATAGTACTTCCTTCATGAAGTACTTGTCAGAATTAAGCATGTTGCCAATTTACATTGTACCTAGGCTTCATATGTAATGAAAAATACCTCTTGTGCTCGGGAAATTTGTTTTATAGCTTACCCCTGCAATTATATGAATTCTTCCTCAAATTTCCAGTGTAGGAGACAGGGTGGCAACTGCTCCATGTTTTTGCAAGACAAGAAATCAAAAGAATGTTAAATATCCCTGTTGACTACTATCAGGAGTCCAGTATGAAGATTGGAAAGGCTTTATTCTACTTCCATTGGGGATGGCTTCAATTACAATCAATAGACTATATCATCTGACACTAAGCTATTGTTCATTGTTCCTGTGCTTACTCAATCAACAGTAGTCATGTTTAACTAACATGTAACACAACATAACATTGCATAATGTAACACAGAACAGCATCTTCATAGCAAACGTATTGCATGCATTCCATGGCACCCTTACATTTGTGTACATGTGCAGATAATATGTGATGTGTCAGTATATGAGAATGCCTCAAGCAGCCACTACTGAATCACTGTTGATCTTGTCCTCCACAGTGACTGGGGCCTATATCCCTTGCCTTTCTCAGTGCTGCTCAGGGCTGTCACTAAGAATTTACGTTGCCCGGTATATGTGTTGTAGTTCAATAATATTATTTTATCCTTTGTTTATTATAAATTTTATTTTCCTTTGTTCTAAACTCATATTCATTCATTAACATACCACAAAACAAAAGAAAAGAAAATTTAAACTAAGGAAAAAATTGAACCACAACATACATACTGAAAAATTTCGAAAATAAGCCCCTCCATGTATAAGCCCCCCCAACCGGTAACGCAAAAAACCCTCTGTTAAATCGCCCCTCCAAATGTAAGCCCCTCAGGGGCTTGTACTTGGAAAATTGCCCTCAAATGCAAAGTAGAAAAAAGAAAAAATGGTAAATTTACTTTCAACTATAAGGCTAGCCCTATCGAGTTTGAAACGCAAATTTCCCTCCGTAGATAAGCCCCTCCGAATATAAGCCCCTCCACAAATAAGCCCCTCAAAAAGGGCCTTTGAAAAATATAAGCCCCGGGGCTTATTTTCGGAATTTTTCCGGTTTGCAATAAGTATAGCTAGGATATTCATTTGGTTCTGCTTTTCTTTTGTTTATTTTGAAAGTAGCCAGCATTCATGCTCATTGTAACCGGGGAAAATCTCCAACACCTGGCCTCTATTGACACCCCTGGTTACACACTGAAGGTTCTCATACAATTTGTCCCCAGTAATATTGAAAAATGTCCTTAATAACATTTTCTCCTCCCAAATTGCAGGACTATTATACTGTTCATGGCCCAGATGCATTGTTTGCTGCCAAAGAGGTTTTCAAGACAATGAGTGTTATAAAACATCTTGGTTCAGGTATACTGTGTCGCTAGGAATGTGATACTCTGTCCTAGTTAAAATCTTTTGAGGGCATTTACAGCAAAGCATCAGGAGACTAGGAAATTGCTTCTTCTCTGGAGCATTTTGGCAGACTACAGCTGTATGATTACAACTGTAGCTGGAAGACTCCAACTGTTGGTTGGCAGATTCGCAAAATTTACTTTACACTGTGTTATTATTAACTGCTATGTTGACTATAAAGCACTTAGGAAAATTAATGTTCTGTTCTTTGTGATTAGTTTTACTACATGTAGCTTTGCACTGAACCTGTTGGTACCCAATTTTTGCACAGCTAGGTAAAAAAGAACAGTTTGGATAAAACAACATGACAGCGGACGTCTGGCGCAGCTCTTTGCAACTCTTCCGCCCCTAAAACTCACATTTCAGACGAAATGCCAAGTTTCATTTTGTACATGGAAAACACTGAAATATACTATGTGAAAGCACTGCCAAAGGGTTGTATTAAATGATCCTGACATGTGGTTTCAGCCTTAGAGTCAAAATTGGTATTGCTTTTGTATATATTGCATGTGCAACCATGATTTACAGTGACTTTATTTCCCCGCTTTCGTTGTTTTCTCATCAGGTGAAATACAAGCTATGTAAACGTTACTGAAATGATATTCATTTCAGCTTATGTTTCAGCACCAGATGTACAGCTGTATGTACATACATGTAACTGGTTTAATTTGTTAATTATGTACTTTTCAGGAGAAAAGAAGGTTCCATCTGTCATTTTGAGTAAAATGAATTTTGAGAGCACAGTTCGAGACCTTTTGCTGGTCCGTCAGTACAGAGTAGAAATGTACCGTGCCAGCAAAGGCACAAAGAACACCTCTGCATGGGAACTTGTTGCAAAGGTATTTGTGCAGATATACTTCGTACTTGTAACATAATTTTTATAACAGCTACTGACACCTTGTAATCATAAAAGAATCAAGAAACAGATTACTGTGTATTCTCAAAAATAGTGATTGATTCTGATACTATATTGTCTCTTTTGGTGCCATGTTATATAATATCCAGGGTTGTCATTAAGAGGCGGGGGCTGGGGATTTCCCCTGGCTACTATGAACATGGCCCCCTCCTACTCTCAAAGGAAAATAGAAGAAAAATAGAACCAAAAGAAACCCATAGCTGTTTAATTCCCTGCCTACTTGTTGTACTCGGCAACATGAAATGTTAGTGACAACACTGATGTCTGTCGCTGTCACATTGGCTGGTAGGGATGTGTTACAGCCTTAAAATGTTGATGTCCAAAAAACTGAATTTGTGTCATTATTGGTACCGTTCATTCAGAAAGAGCAGATGAAAAACACCTCTTAGTTAAAAATTCATGAGGATTTTTATTGAAGTTCTTACAATAAGGATCCAAGTCAAATTAAAAAGGATTTGCCATCAGAGTCATCAGAGCATAACTAAATCCTACAAATAAACATTTATCTCAACACTACTTTGCACGTACATGCTGATTAATGGCAGGTGGCATCTTTCTCCTTGCTTTTTTTTCTTTCTTCTCTTTTGGTTTTTGTTTGAATTTTCTTTTCCGATTTTAGGCATCACCAGGAAATTTACAGCAATTTGAAGATATCCTCTTTGGTAACAATGACATGTCAGTGTCAGCTGTTGTCATGGCAATCAAACTTGGTACAGAAAATGGCCAAAGGGTATGCTATGAACATTATCTACCAGTATATTTACAGATAATACTAATAGGTGGTGTGGTATATGGCTGTATGAGTTGCAGTAAAAACTGTCCTCTGCTGTTATTTTGGACTACAGGTATGTGTACTGAAGGTAGCCTGTGTACACCCATTTCCCCACCCCCTCCCTGATTTTTATGAGGGGGGAAGGCAGATGTGCCCAGGCTACATTGAAGGTAGAGTTAGACTGTAGTGGAGACAACAAACCAACATACTCATCGACTGCCACTGACCCAGTTAATAATAGTGGTGTTGCTTTGGCTAATCATTGCCAGTCAGTAATTTTCTACTGCTTTTGTCCAGTGCATATTAGTAAAGAGTAGTTTAGGAAGTTTGATTCCTTTGAGTGAGGTCCAGGCACAAGAAAAACTTGGGGTTTTTTGTAAGTAAGTTAAAGTACACGTACATGTAACTGTCACTATTTCATCTTTCTCTTAGGGGGTATTAATTTATCTTTGGAAAAATTAATTTCCTTTTGACAGATTGTAGGTGCTTCCTATGCTGATTCTGAAGCAAGAAAGTTTGGTGTTTGTGAATTTGTGGACAATGATCAGTTTTCCAACCTGGAGGTAAAATGTTTACTGTATAATGATGTATTAAATTTAGAATTGTTGTTAATGAGATTTTTTACTTTTGATTTGTTTTTACTGATGCAAGCAAGTGGTTAGTACTCTGTACGTGTATTTGTTTGTGTACTGATGAATTTCATAAATAATTCATTTCAGGCATTGTTAGTCCAGCTTGGTCCAAAGGAGTGTTTACTGCCCCAGCATGACTCAACTGCTGATGCAGCAAAAGTGCAAGAAGTGATTCAACGAAGTAACATTCTTATCAGTGAGAGGAAAAAAGGTAAATTTTCTAATATAGCCAGAGTAACTTATCAGATACCAGTTCTGGGTAAAATTCTTCACAAAGTGTCTTAAGCAAAAGTAGTCTCTGCTGTTTGTCAGCTCCCAGGACCTTTGGCACTGTGATGTGGACCATGATTCAAACCTAATACATGTAGTGATACTCGCGACACCATTGGAAGGTAGTGGTGCTGTGGCCTTTGGTCTTTGGTGTTGCCTGTTAGACTATTTCCAGAGCTGCTGGCGGGCCACCTGTTGAATTACAAAGCCATACCACACCGCAAAGTCACAACACAGATTAGAAACTTTTACTCTCACAATTGAGCCTTCAGTTAATGGACGAGTGGACTGATACATGTATCTCAATCTCCAAGTCCATCTCTGAACACTCCTTTTGCCAAGACCACATTGGCTAATATAGGGTTACTGTCACTGCAGGCTTCTCCAATTTTCATTGTTGCAGCTTGATGCCATTGCTCAACTGATAATGGCATCTTCCTAGCAATGGCAGTTTGTCCAGCCAGTAATGAAGCATGGCTTGTGCAATTAGGTGTTCATTCTGATATCCCATACTGTTGTGGTGGTGGGTAGGAAAATCATACCACTGCAATTTGTCTAGCCTCTAGGTGTTGGCGAGGCTTTTACAGCTTCAGTCTTGTCCGAATCGGCTTCAGTTTCATTTTAATAAGTACATGACCAAGGAACTTGACTCGACTTAGGAGCTGTGTACAGTGATCAGTTTCAAGCTTTTGTTTTGTCTTCAGTAACCCGATGACTAATTGTTTTATGTACAGTTAAGACACCAAGGTAAATTGATGACAGTATGTCCTTGAACACAATGATCATCAGTTGCTCAAAGCTCATGGGTGTATACACGGTCCAAATGGCATCACCACATACTGCCAAAATCCACTCCCAGCCATGAGTGCTTTTTCCTCCTAACCCCAAAATGATATCAACCTGCCAGTACCCACTCTCCACATCAATTCTGAACACCATTTGGACCCAAAAGGTCAATCTATGAATGTGTTATCAGTGTGTGGTGAGCAAATGCCTTATTTCAGGTCATGCTGTACAGCATCCAGTAGCCCATGTAGAGCATGGCTTATTCAGTGGTACCTCCTCGGTACCATTGAGAAATTTGCCGGTCACCATGTTCAGGTAGCACTTGTAATCATCCAAAATAAAATTAACAAGTATTTTGTGTGCATAAGGATGAATTCACCACTGATTTTCTAACAAGAACTTGGCCTCACCTGATCATAGAACATTCTCTTTCATTCCTTTACAAAGTGTGGTTGTTTAATTGTTAAGCTACATGCAGCATCTAAGACTTTGTTACCTGACCCATGACACTCACACAAAAAGCTATATTTTTGGCTGCTCTCCTCCTTGAAAACCTTTTTCTTTACTCTATTTCTTGCTTTTTTGGAATGAGATACAAAACAGCCATATCTAACAGGGCCCTACTAGTTAGAGTGGTTTGTCCACAAAACAACTGTTTCTTGTGAACTAAAAACTCAAAAACTGCACATGATAACATGCTTCAACAAATGCTACGTAACCGTGCATTCTTAAATGGAAAGTACTTTTTTGTAAAATTTTTCACAAATATTTGAAAAATTTTCTTTCTCCATTCAGCTGAGTTTTCCAACAAAGACATTGTTCAGGATCTCAACAGGCTTTTGAAGCTGGGTGCATCAGGAAATAGTTCAACACTGCGTAAGTGATACTCCTCACTAATGACAGCAAATTGTAAAAAATCATACTGTGGAAACAACACTTGTCATCAGTGATATGTGGGTGGGCCTTGCGACCTGAAAAGAAAAGGGGCATAAAGTAAGGGGCACAAGTTAAGCAATATTTAGTGTGCAGTAAAAAATTTTTGAAACTTTTAGTCTGCAGAAATAACAAGGTAAAATGCAACTAGGTTAATTCTTGCACAGTTTTGTGGTAAGATTCCTAGACAAGATTCCTGGTTTGCCTAAACAGCAAGCAGATTTACATTTTTCAAAAGTTGTCTAACACTGGATTCCAGTATGAGCACTGTACATTCTACTCTACAACAGAATAATTATGGATGCAGTGTTCTTTGCCTTATATTTTTCATCTGGTTTTTTAATTTAGCTGAAATGGATTTGACACATGCCACTGCTGCTTTAGCATCCTTGATCAAATACCTTGAGGTAACTTTCTATTCTATCAGATGGTAAAGGTAAAGGTGCACATGAGCCAAAGGCCCACATGGCCGGAGCTTATTTCTGGTTTCCATAGCATGAAGCAAGCCTAGGAGTATTGCTACTCCCCCCTGGACGGGATGCTAGTCCATTGCAGGGTTGCCCCCCAGAAGTAGGTCGCTAAAATAAAGATATTTCCAACGATCTCTCACTGCTCCGCATAATATTAATTCACTATAGCAAGGTCATTTCAAAGTAAGAAACTGACAAGAACTCATCACTAAGACTTCATTATTGATTTTAACAAATCCAGATGAAAAAAGGAAACCTTAAAAAATAAACAGCCCTAAGGGATCAGAGCAAAATTATGATCCAATTTGATTTAAGAATAAAAACATAAGAGACTTTTGAACAATCAAAACTTACCAAAACTTTGTTTGAAATTTCAGAACTAACCTTGTGTTGAATATCTACAGTTTCTTGCAGACGAAACTAATTTTGGGCAGTTTCACCTTAGTACCTTTGACTTGACACAGTTTATGAAGCTTGATGCAGCAGCTGTGAGGGCTCTTAATCTTCTTCCAAATCCTTTAGATGGTAAAACATCCATATTCTTGATTTTACCATAATTATTAAAAAGTTTAGAGAAAAATGTTTTTCAGTTTGTAAAACAGGAATTTCAGTAGAAAATATCCAAGTACTCCCGACTGGAGTCGAACCTGTGACCTTGTGGTTACTACTCCAGATGCTCTACCACTGGGCTACAGGAGACTCAAGGGAGCTTAAGAAAAGCATTAGAACTGTAAAGCTGTCCCAATACATTTGTCCATGATATAAGGTGCATGTGACAAACATCCTGCATGTTTTTAGGTCTGGAATGTTAAACATCAAAGCCTTAGTTCTTGCTCATAGTTGTTTGCTTTGTCTTGAAAGGAGGGAACAAGAGTATGTGTCTGGTTGGCCTTTTGAATAAGTGTAAGACAGCTCAGGGACAGAGACTGTTGGCGCAGTGGGTGAAACAACCTCTCATGGATAAGAACAAAATAGGTGAGTGCTAAACCCTAAGGCTGCAGGCTCTATATGCAGTGGTAAATACAGACAAACAGCCATATACCTTGTAAATCTACCAGCACAGTAAAATAAACAAGTGAAACCTTGGGTGTTGAATGGTTTGGTCCTTCTGTTTTGTTTGTTTGATTGTTTGTTTTAGTATAATCTTTGCCCTGGTACTTGCAGAAGGAACCTCCAAATATCTGGCAACTACTTGCAAGATGATGAAGACACTTTTTCCAGAAAAACAACTTTCCTTTAGTGTGTCTCACGGGATAAAAATATTTCAAGTAAAACAGTTGTTTCCCTCCCTCTTACAAATTTAAAGTTGTCATCGCAATTTTGGAATATCAATCAACCTGGTGCCCTTTCAACTTCAATAACAGATTCAACTATTACAATAACATTCTTCTTGGCACTGAGCACACTGGCACATTTTACTTCACTCTCTTTGGAGTTCAGTTAGATTTTAAATGTTTTCTTTGCAGAGGAACGTCTTGACATAGTGGAAGCTTTCTTTGAAGATACAGAATTAAGACAGACAATTCAGGTTTGTTTGCTGTGAGAGAATTTAAAGATACTAGCTGTCTTGTTCAACAGTATTGATTTATTCATCAGAAAGTGTTTGATATCCAAGATAACTTACCCTGAGAAGTAAAAATCAAATTTAATCCTAGGGTTGGGCACTGGCATCTGATGTGGATGGCCTCTCAGATTTTCCTTTCGATGTCCATGTTTTCCTGGTCAACACTTTTGATCTCCTTGCAGTCAATCCTATCTACCCATAATTTTATATTTTCATCTTGGAGAGTGCACACTTCAACTTGCACAATTACATCCCTCAGTCCTCCATCAATCCTGCCTGGCAATCTCTCCCCAGTGCTGTCTGCTTCAGGCTTAATCAACTCCCCACATGCTGGGGGAAAACTTAGGCCTTCCTTCTGCTGGTGTGGCAGGCTGTGGGAAGGACTCTGCCCTGTGAATCCCCCTAAACTGTGAGCCACCTTGTTGATCACTACTCCATCTTTAGTGCTGCCAATGGTGGCCTGGTGAAGACTTTGAGATACTGTGAACAGGCTCTGGAAGGAGGAGGGGTGGGTGTCCTGATCCCTCATTCCCTTCTCCTTTTTGATGAAACTCTAGCATGTCCACACTTTTTCATTGCTTTTCTTTCAATTGATATTTTAAATTTTAGGCGTTGCAAAAAAAAAGAGATAGCTTTTCATACCTTAGTTTGACAAAGTAGAGGGGAAAAAGACGATGAATGGAAGAGGGAGAAAGGAGGATTTCTTCAGGCATTTGAAAGGGGCTTTTGGGCACATGAGAAGCGTGGTCTTGCACCCAAACTCCCTTTCCCTTCCCTTTTGAACACATGCCATGCAGGCTATTTCTTCCCCTCTTTCCCAACCCCCACCCCTCTTAATGTTTTTCCATGATCACTCTTTTTTGGTGCTGCTCCCGCTATCTGAACTCCTAAAACAGGCTATTCTGGTGCTAGAAGACTTGTCTGTGACCTCATGAAATAACGACCTCAAAACTCTGACTGTCTTATTTGCAGGAGCAGGGTTGAGATCACTGTACTGTTTGCCATATCTTAAGTGTAACTGATCATATTATTTCTTTAACGTATACAAAAAAATGTCACAAGGTTGAGCAATTAAAGACACGAGCACTAAGTCCTTTAAAACAGACATGGTAGCACCATGTATACTTTTCTGTCATCCTCTTGAAACATTGGGTCTTCTGTCCATTCATCTGTTGATTACTTGACAGTTTCAATAACCATTACCAAGGTCATTCGGTAGTTTGCTTCAGAGGAGACACCACTGAATGCTCACCTGTTTGACGCATCAAATCCTGTTTCCTGTCAAGATAATATTTTTTATTTTCCCAAAACCTGCACCATGTTTTAGTCAAATCCGGTATCCCGAAATTACCCTTCCAGATGCTGAGTCAAAAGCTTCAATGCTTCTATATTATGAGACCTTGAGATAAGAGTTATTATACAAATAAACAAAGTTGCACTCCTTTAACACTACATGGTGTTCAGTAGTCTCTGGTAGTCCACGTAATATTTGAACTTGTTTGCCAACACATGATTGTACAATATAACATGCTTTATGACTGTCTGACCTGGGATAGTGTCTTAGTTCTCAACTTATTTTTGTTTTCTTCTCTATATCTTTAAAGGAGGAACTTCGCAAAGTCCCTGATTTTTCCAGGCTGGGTAAGAAGTTCCAACGACTAAAAGCAAATTTGCAGGTACCCCTCTTTTAAAGTATTTCCAGCTAGATGATTATTGCACATTACCTTTCTTTTTTATGGTTATAGTAATTTTGTATACACATGACTGTTTCAACAGGACTGTGTGAGAGTCTACCAAGCTCTTCACCGGCTTCCTTCATTTATTGAAATTCTTGCTGGTTATGAAGGAAATCATCAAGGACTAATACGAGACTGCTTTTCAACTCCTCTCAAGGTGATTTATATTGTTCCCATTTTTTTTTTTACCGAACCCCAATAATGGTATGAAGAGTTGGTCTGGCTACTTTATTCATGTTTCCCTGCCTTGGATTCAACTACACCGTTTCTTTTCAAAAGTTAATTGTAAACACATCATCGTGTTTGATTGAGCCAACATTCAGATGCGATCTCCTCTTTCATAAATGATACTATGATAGTTTTCAGGATTATAAAAAGTGTAATTTAGAATTAAATAAATTCTAGTTTTTGGGCAGAACCACACTAACTTGGGTTAAACTTAACTCAACAAACAGAAGCTAGACCCCTTACCGTTCTTTGGTCAAATCCTTGCTTCTTTTCAGGTGTGAAACCACAGGGTTGCCAAGTAACAGCAGCATTAAATTATTATTATTTAATTACAGCTAGTAGGCTTGTTACAGTGTCTGCCAGTCAAAGTACCAGTAAATGCAGTTCTTGTAGCTTTGAAAAAACCGGTATTCAACAGGCTCTGGATTCCAGTTTGTCCCACTGACTTGCTCTTATTTATTAATACTGGTAAGTAGAGTGCTTTTCCTGATTTTCAGGATCTTGTTGAGGACTTTCAAAAGTTTACTGAGCTAGTGGAAACAACAGTGGACCTTGAGCAAGTGGAAAATCATGAATACTTAATCAAGGCTTCTTTCGATGAAGGCTTGCAAGGTATGTTGGTGTTTCGGACTAAGAAGTGAGTTTTTGATGTCTGTTACAATGCTTGCTTCAGCCGGTCGTTTCCTCGTCAAAAAAGTAAGCATGTACTGAGAAATCCTTGAACGAATTTAAGGGTGCTTTCCATTTGTTAGAACTGGCCGGCCGGACCATTGCCATACCAGTGAACAGTCAGTTAGCCAACAAAATCAGCTTTTTCCAAAGCGTTTTTGCTGAAAAACCATCTCCTTCGTGCATTTTAGGATTTGATTGATCTGGCTGGACAGTTCTGATTTAAAGTGAAAATCTCATTATCACAAAAAGGGTCTGGCCAGTCAGTTCTGACAAATGGAAAGCGCCTAAGTCTTAGATTGGGTGGAGAAACATGTAATTGGTTTAAAGGATTTGGTTTTCTTGTGAAGAGAAGTGTGGTGTCACCAAAGTTCAAATTTGTGAAATTATAGGATTGGTTGGCATATTCAGAAAAAAATTGTAAATTGGTGGGGAGATATAAGCACAAATATCCTCTGATAACTCCATACAGGTTCTTCTAACACTGGCTTGGATCGTAACGTCTACAATCTACAGGCCTATTTTAGAGGGATTTATATGGTCTTTGGAGTATGACGGTGCTTGATCATTATAATCTTTTCAAAAATGCTTTTTTTGCTCTGTGTTGTATTGCAATAGACCTACTTTCTGTTTATTTGTTGTATAAAGTGTAAAAAAAAACAGCAGAAACTTTTTGTTGCACCTTTCCTATAGAATGTAGAGAAAAAATGGATGAGATTTTGGAACAGATACCAGTGGAACTAAATAAGGTTCGTATTGTCTTGTGGTAAATAAACTTTTCATGTTTTGAGTGAGTATTTCGTGAGCTTTAGTTGGTTATTAAGTATTAGATCCATTTTGGTTTCTATTTTGCTGTGCCATAATACAGGCTGCCAGAGACTTGGGCCTAGAAGCTGGAAAATCAATAAAGCTAGAATCTAACAACCAGTTTGGCTATTTCTTCAGGATAACAAAAAAGGTGACTTAATGTCTCATTTGTGTCATGGTTTAATAATACGTAATGCTTATAGAAACTATTGTGCCATCCTCAATTTTAAGTTTGGTGAATGTCAATTGTTGGTAAAAAAAAAACAAAACAAAAACAACTCAAGAACCTGTTCAATATCATGCGTTTGGGTGTTCCACTTTGAATTGAAATTTGATAGTGCGATAAATCTCTCAGAGCAGAGTAGAGAACTAACCCACATATTATAAGCAATCAAATCAAACTCCGGTTACATTGGAGGAGGGCAAGGTCGTCTTGCCATTAAGCTAATTCAGTACTTACCAATGTAATTTTAAAAAGTTAGAGCAAACTAAGGCACTTGCGTCTCTCAGATGCGTCACAAACTTTTTCAAATTTGTTGGTCAGATCAGCAACCTGCATACCTAATTAACCCCGTGCTCTAATTCATTTTTTAGTAGGCAAAATGATCATTTTTTAATTGGGGAATTACGTTTCTGTATTTTTATTGTTTGATTCTTGATTCAAATTTGCAGGAGGAAAAAGCACTTAGAAACAGCAAGCGCTTCACTACAATAGACACACGGAAGGATGGAATAAGATTTAACAATTCTGCCCTGCGTCAGCTGAATGAACAGTTCCAAGGTTACAAAGAAACCTACAATGATGTACAAAGTAAACTGGCCAATGAGGTGATCAAGGTGGCAGGTATGTGAGATGTCTTCAGATCAGCTCACAGTTTCTCCACACTGTTCTACATATTGGCCGTTTTCACACTAGAGACGGATTCGGAGCTTAAGCAACAACAGGGGCACCCAACGAGGATATGGTTCAAAACCACTTAACATAGCTATGTTGAACGTATTTTAGTATTCAAACGGTAGATATAGGCATATTTTCATCCCCTAAAAACTTTTCATCTGTTCGGATTCCCTAGCTGAAAGTCTAGTGATCCGAAAATTATAGGGATAAAAACTTACCTTTTCGAAAATTTCAGCCAGGAAAAGGCTCCCGAAAATTCTAGGTGGCCTTTTTTAGGGTCAAAATACGTTAAAAATGGGTAATTATAGATGCAGGCAAGCAAGAAATTTTACTGCAAATGCTCCGAAAATTCTAGATCTCAAATCGTCTTCCGAACAGATATTTTCCCGAAAATTGGCGTTGGGTGCCCCTGCAACAACGACGGCGACGGCGACGGCTGCGAAAACGTCACTTAAAAAGTGAGGTCGCGCTGCTTCAAACTTAATCCATCTCGTTACCTTTGTGAAATGTTACCGAATTTTTCTGGAGTTGAATTCTAAAGGAGTGTATGGTAGTTCAGGAAAAGAGAAAGAAAGTCGTTGTGTTCCGTTCACTCCTCCACGAAACGTGAAATTAGGAAGTTTCACGTCGTAATCTTTCAAAGACTCCACAGAAATGTAAAAAACGTGTGATGTACGTGCAATTTGGTGTTTTGCTAATACAAACCTATTGTATTTTTGCCGTTCTCGTTGCCGTCGCCGTCGTCGTTGCTTAACCTCCCTATTTTCCAACTCAGACAGGTTATCCGTTGGGTAATTCGCGTCAGACAAGTAATTCCTCTTAATTAGACTGCGAGCAGTCTCTCTTATTCTTCAGATTTAGTGAGAGCAATGCACGCGTCTCCCGTCTCGCGCCATCAGTCACGCGCGTGGCCATTTGCGTGTCTCACGTTTTGCTCGACGGACTACAGAAAAAAGAGAGGCTGCTCGTAGTCTACCTCTTAATCTGAAAATTGAACGGTTTTAATTTTGGACGAATAATCCGTCTCTAGTATGAAAACGGCCATTATATTTCTTCTGGCAGTGAAGATAAGAATTTGTTTTAAAAACAATTGAAGTTTATCTTTTGGTAATCAATTCTTTTACTAATCATGACCCGCATGTTTGATTGTACAGCCCAAAGATGAAGTCTAAATAGAATCCAAGCTGTAACAATGGCGCGCTAAAATCCTTTGCAGCTAAATTTCGCCTTTGACTAAACGATTAACCGCAAAATGAGGAGAACTCTTTCCAGAATACGCACTTTCCTCACGGCTTTTTTATCCGCATTGAATTATAACCTTTTGCGCATCAGAGCCCTGGGTATGGTTAAAAAAAAACAGCAGCTCGGGAAAAGATATGGCCGAAGTTCCCTACGTATAAACTGTAGGCAGCTCAAAATATTGTTTTTTTTTCTGCAGGAGGATACAGTGAACCCATGCAAATGTTGAGCGACATCATCGCACAAATTGATGCTTTAATAAGGTGACTTTCCTTTTGATGATGCACCGTTTACTGTGACACTCCATTGTAACTTATTTAAAGTGATGTCTGTACCATTGACTGATCACATCGACATCATTATATCGTTGAAAATGTACTGGACCCTGATGTGTGTTCCGTCAAGTTTTAAAGCACGCGACCTTCATTGTGATGGACTGTGACCAATACACAAACAGCCTTTTGAGGGGACATATTTAAAGGACAAAGTTATAGAACAGAGCATCATGAACCAGCTAACTTTTCCGTTTAAAAATGCCCTTCAAAACCTTTTGGAAGATAGTTTGAATAAAACCGATACTTGTAATTGATGATGAGTGCAAAACAAAGGGAAAAAACTGATTACCCACAGTATTATGTGAAACAATTATTCCCTTGTAGTTAAGGCACTCTAGTCACTAAGCTACTAAGAGACTCCTGGGAAGCAGAGATTTTAATTACAGTTATGTGTGATACGCTTCTTACATACTGCTTGGATGAGGCATTTTAATGAGGACGGGAAAGTCGTTGATCTGAAACTAAACCTGTCAAGAATGATAAAAATATCTTTGAGTGTAACTAAGCATCCACGGGGTATGCTTTAGGGTATCTTCAGGTCTGGAAATATTTAGATATTTCAAGCAGTATTATCGAATGTTTTTTAAGCTTTAGGTGGTAAACGAGATGACAACTGCAGAATCATTCTTTTTCTTGGCTCGCGAGTCTTCTTACTGTTTTCTGTTCCCCAAAAATAATGGTTTAGCTTAGCAAAGATATCTTGTTCACACAATGCAATTTAATGTAAGCATTTAATGATACATGTAATATGTTAATCTTTGCTTAATTTTTCTTTCCACTAGTTTTGCGCATGTGTCTGCCAATGCTCCTATTCCTTATGTTCGTCCAAAAATAACTCCTAAAGGTATGCCGTGATAAATAAGTTACCCTTAAGCAAATGAATTAAATTGTCCATTTAAGCCAAACTATCGAAGAAAAATTACCGTTACTTTTAGTGTAAAGACAATTTTCCTCACTGCAGTTCAGTAGATTCACTGCATTTTAAATTGTTTAATTCATAAATAAATACTCCAGCTCTTCCATACTACTTACCATTGATAATACACGGATGGGGCTACAATTATTTCTGCTAAATTCACTTAGTTACGAACGACAAATTATCACTGCTTTCATAGTTATCGTTGTGGCAACCGGAGAACATATTTGCAGCTACTTAACCTGGAGCCCTTACAATTTTTCACAAACCCTTTGGTCGAAAATTTCGCGTCTAAAATTTAAACGGTTGAATTTGACTTCGTGTCAGGAGGACTCTTTACAAAGTGTAGCTAAGTCACCTAATGAGACTAAAAATATTAAAGAAAAAGTATCGTCTAACACGGCTATTCATTTTTTCTATGGCTACCCAATGGAACGGCGGGAACCATTTAATTTTCCAATTAGAATGTTCGATTTCCGTTGGAATGGTAAATACCCGTGGTAACATGCTACTATCTCCTGTGTCAAGCAACACCTTTCACTACACATTTTTCATTGTCTAGGAGAAGGGCACATGAAGCTTGAGATGGCCAGGCATCCATGTCTTGAGGTTCAAGATGATGTGGCATTCATTGCCAATGATATCACACTTGAACGAGGTATAGGAATACTCCTAAGACATGCACACCTGTGTTAACCCTTTGAGTCCTAAGAATGATCAGCATGAAATTTCTCCTTGTAATATCAATGCTTTATAAAGCAAAGTGGTCGTGAGAATTGAGGACATGATCACAAAAGATAAATCTTATTGATACTTCAACAACTTCTCCCCACTACTTTCATAGGGCAACAAATGAGAATTTGAATTTTAATGTTAGGGTTTAAGGGATTAAGTGGTCATCCTTGGGGAATGGCCCTCTGACTGCTTAATAATGGTTTGACCCTCCTAAAAGAAAGCCAATTAGTATCAAGAAAAACGGTGACTGAAAGGGATTTTTATCTCTTTTTCTACCAAAATAAATGAAAATTCCAACAATTACATGTCATGCAAACATGTATTAAAAAAGATTTTCTAAAATAGGCGTTACCTCAAAGCTAGAAACCATGCTGAATGAACTCTACAGACACCACCACTAGTACACAGTTACCGACAATGTTCGTTTACGTTTTGTAGGTGAAAAAGAATTTTTGATTATTACGGGGCCTAACATGGGAGGCAAGTCTACCTACATCAGACAGGTTTGTGTACTGGCTCTCTTCTTTTAACATAACTGAATCAGTTGCTTTGTAGTATCCAAATGATAGATGAACATTCCATATTTTCTTGCCTACAATGTGTGTGACATTCAAACAGGATCTTGTTAATTTTTTTCCTGTTTTTTTTTTGGTTACATCTCACTGCAACGCATGTTCTGTCTTTTTGCCCTCTAAGTTCTCCAATACGGTAGAATCCTCGAGTGGTTTACAAGCATCTGAAGTCACGTATTCCCAAGTAATGTCACATGACGACCAGCTTCTTCATTCTAAGGGAAGAATGAGGCTAATGGTGTGCAAATCCGGCAATATGTCTGATGTCCAAACAAAGAATTTGACTTATATAATTTGTTGATGTGAGCGTAAATAAGGTCAAGAAAACTTTATTCAGCGGTTACTTTGTTGGGAAAACCGACTGGGCCCTCAGACGCAACTACTTACGTCTGATGTCCAAACAAAGAATTTGACTTGTATAATGTTGATGTTAAGTCATGAACCCTTAAAGAGGCGAAACTGGAAATTATTTTTCGAAGAAGCAGAAGAAGCACAAAGCTCTGAATCGCTCTCAGAAGGGCGCAAGAAGAGAGCTTTGACACTAACTTTCAAGAACCCGTTGATGCCCACAAATGACAGTGTTATTGATATGGTTGTTCATTCATGCTCGCTTCCATATCTTTATCCGCAGTTCCAAATATGATTCATTTCATGTATTTTAAATTGGGCCTTGGCCAAACGTCGAACTTTTCATGAGACGAACCAAACTTAGTGAGTCAAGTTCATGAAAAGTTCGACGTCTGGCTCAGTTGAGGTCGTCTGAATGAGTTTGGAGGCGTCCAACACGTTCTATCCGTCTGCTTCACACGAATAGAACGCTTGAAGACCGTCTCCTGGACCAATGTCGAGCTTCACATGCGACGAACTAAACTAATGAATTAAAAATTTGTATGATAATGTATATTTAGCCTTGTTTGGGAGAAAATTTATGAAAATTGCTGTTTAGTGCGATTCAGTTTATTGGCTCGACGCGTCCCAAGTTCGAGGTCTGACCCAACAGTCGATCTTAACTTAATTTAGGTCGACCCAAAATAGAGTTTGATTCGTCTAATGAAAAATTCGACGAGTGGCCTAGGCTTTAGTGATATTAATGTTAGTAACCTCTCTCCAGACAGGAGTGATAGTACTGATGGCCCAGCTTGGATGCTTCGTGCCTTGTAACACTGCAGAAGTAACCATCACCGACTGCATTTTAGCTCGAGTGGGGTCTGGAGACAGCCAGTTAAAAGGGGTCTCTACCTTCATGTCAGAAATGCTGGAAACGGCTTCAATATTAAGAGTAAGGGGAAATGTTTAATTTACTTACTGCACTGCGTTTAGCTTTTTCTCTAACCTGCGATCCCAATGAAAAAGGGCAGGAGAATCTCCTGATCGAAAGTGACCTCTTTTCGTCTTTTCATTGCTGCAACGATTTAAACGACGATAACTTTTTTGTGCACTTTAAATCATCCAAACGCTTTCTGTTTATTCTTACTTGATTTTTTGGTTAACTGATCATTTTTTGGTTAAATAAATAGTACTGTGTTTTGCCGAGGAATAAATTTGCAAACCTAATCGCGTTTTACCAATCGTGCATCTCTGAACTTGATAGCTCTCTCCTCCGCAGACGTCTCTTTGTGCCGTAGGGAGACTGGGAAGAGGGAAATAGTCTGTGGTCCAAAAAGACCTGCATAGATCCTTTTAAAAAATTCTGCAACTAACAAAATTTTGCCAAATAAATACCCCTAATGCATGTTGATTTCCGACAAACCAATTTACCACCACCAACTGTCGTTTTAATATCAAGACAGTGGAATTGAAGAGAATACCCAAGTATAAATAGTGCAAATGTGAAGAGTGAATACCCTTTATGTAACGATTTGTATATATCTTAGTCTGCTACAGAAAATTCGCTCATCATAATCGATGAACTGGGAAGAGGTACCTCGACTTACGATGGTTTTGGACTTGCCTGGGCAATATCACAGTAAGTTGCCGAACTGTTTTTGGTATTGGTGTTATTTTTTATTCATTTCGTTTTGTTCCGTCAGCGTTACCCTGTGAACAGAGCCCCTTTTTGTCTTCTTTTTGATCGAGGAAGAGAAAAGGAAGCTCTGCCTGAATCGTGTCAAGCCTTTGAAGGCTCCACAGCCCAATCTTCTGGACTAGTCAATCTTGTTTTATATCGTCAAACTAGCTTTTCGAGTGTCAGCATCCGATTATTGATAAACCAATGGTCATAATTGAGCCCGCTATACCAAGCGCACGGCTGTTACGCCTGTGTTCGAAACCTATTCTAGCAACTTGCAGTGCATGCTCAGCAAAGATCTTACTCGATTCGAGTTCGCCAAGGGAGAAGCAGCAACGACGGCATTGGTTGCAAAAAAGTCACTTAAGAAGTGAATTCGCGCCGCTTCAAACTTTATCTAGCTTATTCCGTCTCGTTCAGTTCGTCAAATATTGGCGAATTTTTCTAGAGTTGAATTCTAAAGGACTGTAGCGAAGGTCACGAATAGAAAAAGAAAGTCGTTGCCTTGTGTTCACGTCCTGCCAGCGTGAAATACGGCACTTACACGTGATAGTCATGCAAAAACGGCAAAGAAATGTACCAAAAAAAACGTGATGCACGTGCAAATTTGTTGTTTTGCTTATTGAACCTATTGCTCTTTTGCCGTTCTCGTTGCCGTCTTCATCGTCGTTGCTTAAGCTCCGTAAAATCGAACAAGGGAAACGAAGGTTCTGCTAGCAGGGTGCGTGGGCGTGGGCGTGAGCGTTATCGTGTTTCTCGCAAAAAGAGCCCTCTAATTTTTTAACAGAAAATATACACCTAATTGCAATAACGTTGTCTTAGAAAAATCGAAAAAGGAAAAAGTCAAATAGGAATTAATCAGGCTAATTAAGCGTCATCCTCAGCGTGGATTCATTTGCAGCCGTTGCATCTCCCCGTGGAATTTTTTTATCGTTTTTCAGCTTCGAAACAATAGCAAATTCCAACGGGTAAATACGGGCGTCCATGTGCGGATGCTGCAAAACAATTCGCTAGGCTTATTAGCCTAACTAATTGCTATTTGGCTTTTTCCTTTTTTCATTTTTCTATGTCAACGTTTTTGCAATTGGGTGTGTCTACATAATATTATTACTCGTCATCTAGTGGCATTAAATCTGCCTGCCTACGTGACTAAAGCGCCATTTTTCTTATCCACTTATAAGTTTGCATAATTTAACTAGCCCCTGTTGTTATTTAGGTACATCGCTACCAAGATCCAATGTTTTTGTCTCTTCGCAACTCATTTCCATGAACTGACCGCTCTAGCGGATGAAGTTTCAACAGTTACCAACCTACATGTGACAGCTATGACCTCAAGCGGGACTTTAACGCTGCTGTACAAAGTAAAACCCGGTAAGACGATTGAGTTTTAGAATAACCATACCGGCAAGGCTGCAGTATTATCGGGCAGCTAGAGAAACTGAAGCCGGATTTTATCATCAACACAACTGCCTATCAAGGACAATTGCATTTGCGATTTGTTTAAATGTCTTGAGACAAAAGGATTTGGAGACAATTCCGCAAAAAGAGCGATTTCATTCTCGAAATTATTAGAACCAAAAATAGTATTTGACTTCCTTCGTTCATTGTTCCATTTTTGACGTCTGCCTCAGCGATGTCGTATTATTCTTAGGGACGTTTATATGAGGTGAGCCAGCCCGGTTAGCCAGGCAAGCTCGCTTTGCGGGTTAGCTCGGTTCATGCCCTGTTTCCTCTCGTTTTGTTTATATGAGAAGGCAGGCTGACCCTCTTGCCGATATCCCGGTTGCTCGAGCCAAGATATTGGCAAGCGGACCAGCCTGCTTTCTCATATAAAAAAGAACGACATTTTGACAAGGATATAAGGCATGAGCTGAGCCAGCTCCGTAAAGCGAACCAGCCCGGCTAACCTTGAGTGTCGTAGAACGTCAAGCTTAACCAACGCTACTAACGAGCCAATCACCACCACGCGTAGACAAGTATGAACCAATCCGGTAATGAAGCAGACTCGCGTAGCTGGCGCCAAGCGCAAAAGCGCCGGAAAATGAGCGAGATGGTTCGTAGATTTTTAAAAATTGTGACGCAAGAACTTTAAGGAAATCACAAAGCGTAGCAGTAGAAAACCTAAGCAATTTTAATAGTTAATTAATTACATCGTTAGCTTGGCGTGTGAGTTGGATGAAGCAAAAGCTGTTAGGGCAAGCGCAAGATGTTTCTATCTTTCCCACTCGATCTATGGATTCGACAGGAGACAGGCACTCCGGATCGTATGGTTTGTCTGGTATCAAGACAGGATCGATTCCAACACAAGAAATCTTCTCTAAGTAACGTTTTTTCACGTGGGGACCAAGCGTGTTCACATAATCTGAGAGGATATCCCGCCATGTTGGAAAGTGTGGAACACCAACATGGCGACTCAAATTTCCGGGGAAAAATGTGACGATATGTGAATACGCTCTATATTATTAATAAGTAATCACATGATTTTTCTCGTGCAATTTGGAGTAAATAAACACTTGTAAATTTTTCAAACACCATAAAGTGCACTCGCCCTACAGGCTTGCGCACTTTTGTTGGTCTTTGAAAAATTTACTCGTGCTTATGTAGTCCAAATTGCACTCGAAATCCAAACGTTTTCTTTTAGCAATAGAAGTAATCTACTATCGGCCAAGCCTTTTCGGTCACGTGACTATACTGGATATTGTCTCCGTTCTTTTGTCTCTTAAAGTGAACTGCTTTATTCACTATTGATCGATGTGATCACAATTTTTTCTTGTAGTGAAGGTTTCCTCATTTTATTTTTTTTTAATGTTTTCTTTTATTTCTTTTATTTCATTTTTTTTTTTCAGGTGTGTGTGATCAGAGTTTTGGTATCCATGTTGCCGAACTGGCGCACTTTCCAACACGTGTCATTGACGTAAGTGTGACTTTTATTATTGTGTGGGGGGTTTTTGCGGAATGAATGTATTTAACCTATGCCACTGATAGTAATATTATAAAGGAAATAAAGGGAGATGTAAAGAATCAACCATAAGAGGACACAGAAAAAATCGGAGGGTCGTGGGTTCGAATCCCATCTGGGGCTCAGATTTTTTCTGTGTCTTCTTATGGTTGATTCTTTACATCTTACTTGAATGCATTTACCTTAGAGAAATTCGTCAACCTTTACGCTTTCAAAGGTCTAGGAACTGAAAAAGTCAGAAAAAGCTCCAATTCCTATTTTCTAAAATGCTTCAAATTTTAAACAAAAAATTACAGCGTGAAAGTACTACTGAAGAGGTTTCATTTGAATGGACACACCATAGGATTACTTCCACAAACTCAAAAGTTATAACTAGATAGTGTGAAATTTATAGAACCGTGAGAAAGTACTGCTGAAGAGGTTTCATTTGAATTGTAACGCCAAAGAATTCCATCGACTTACCTTAAAGTTAGAAGTACATGCTAAAAAGATAGTGCCATGTGTAGTGCTAGTGTTAGTGTTCAATACTGCTGAATAGGTCTTGTTTGAATCGTCGCACCATAGGCTTAAGTCCACAACCGGAACTTTTCTAAGAGGTCCTAAAGCTAATGGGTCAATTAACGTATGTATTTGAAATAACAGAATGTACATAAAACTTGTTTTAGATGTACGGGGGGAAATCATCAGTTACGATAAAACAAAAGAAACAGAAAATGCCTTTCAAAGATTCTCGGTGCTACGCGCGCAAACCGTTGGGTAGATTGTTAATATATGTTGTAGTTAATATTTTATCTCAGGTTGTTTTTGATTTTCTTTTGTTTTTGGCTATGGTAATGTATACTAATGAAGTTGAAACAAAGGAAAAATAAACATTAACTGAGGTAAAAAAATTAACTACAACATATGCTTTAGAAAAAGCAATGTTCCAAGTATACTACCTTGAGGTACGCCACAATTAATGATGCGAGCAGTTGACAGTTGCCTACGTACCTTACTGGTCAGATTGGAAAGATCCTGTCTGTAGATCTTAAGCATAGGTCGTAACACGAAAACATAGAATGTCTAGGTGGTAATGAGTAGTTTTCAAACACGATTCTCGGGACAAAAACATAAGTCAAGCGCTCACTAGGACGTTAACTAGCCTGATTGGAAAAAGCAAATTTAGTTGTGCTTGCTTAAACACAACACAGCCCTTTGATTAACAAATCACCTGCCAACGTGTTTTTTTGCCCACGATATAACGTATTTCAGTTGGTTTGTAATGTTTATTGAATCGGGACGCTTCGATCTATGAAACACGTCTATGCGCTTAATTGGCGACGTGCGTCCCCCGGAAATAAATTTTAAATCTTGAGTGAGTCAAACCTCTTTGATCTGCATAACACACCGATACGTGCTTCGCCCTGGAATCAAATTGAAGCCTTCATTGGATCGCTTTGATCTAGCGTGTTTAACTGGCAAGGAGCGTCATTCGAACGACAAAACAAGCGTTGTTTAGGTCATAACTCTTATTACTATTTAGGTCGGAACTCTTTGATCTTCAAAACATGCCAATACTCTTAATTAACAATCTGCGTCACTGGGAGAACAAACATAGCGCTATTTAGGTCGAAACTCTTTGATCTTCAAAACATGCTAATACCCTTAATTGACAAGGTGCAACATTCGAGAAAACAAGTATATCGCTATTTGGGTCGAAACTCTTTGATCTTCAAAACATGCCAATACTCTTAATTAACAATGTGCGTCACTGGGAGAACAAACATAGCGCTATTTGGTTCGAAATTCTTTGATCTTCAAAACATGCCAATACCCTTAATTGACAAGGTTCGTCACTGGGATAACAAATAAAGCGCTATGTGGGTCGAAACTCCTTGATCTTCAAAACATGCCAATACTCTTAATTAACAAAGTGCGTCACTGGGAGAACAAACAGCGCTATTTGGGTCGAAACTCTTTGATCTTCAAAACATGCCAATACCCTTAATTGACAAGGTGCGTCACTGGGATAACAAATAAAGCGCTATTTGGGTCGAAACTCCTTGATCTTCAAAACATGCCAATACTCTTAATTAACAAAGTGCGTCACTGGGATAACAAATATAGCGCTATTTGGGTCGAAAGTTTATGATCTGCGAAACATGTTAAAACCCTTAAATTGAGAACATGTTTTGCAGACAAAAGAGTCCCGCCCAAATCGCGTTGTATAAAACGAGAAAACAAGTATATCGCTATTTGGGTCGAAACTCTTTGATCTTCAAAACATGCAAATACTCTTAATTAACAATGTGCGTCACTGGGAGAACGAACATAGCGCTATTTGGGTCGAAACTCGTTCATCTCCAAAACATGCCAATACCCTTAATTGACAAAATGCGTCACTGGGATAACAAATATAACGCTATTTGGGTCGAAACTTTATGATCTGCGAAACATGTTAATACCCTTAATTGAGAACACGTTTTGCAGACAAAAGAGTCCCGCCCAAATAGCGTTGTATATCCCGAAAGACAAACATTCTCAATTAAGGGCATTAACTTGTTTTGAAAATCGAAGAGCTCCGCCCAAATAGCGCTATGTGTCACGAGCAAATAACATAAATACCTTTAATTAACAATTTTTATCATTTGGGTCTACAATTATAGCGCTTTATGGGTCGGAACAGCACATTTTATATACTTGTGTCACCAGGGAGATGAAGTGAACCCTTAATTGGATCAGCACTCTTTGATCTTATATTTATTTATTTTTATTTATTTTACTCTTCTCAAGGAGGCTCGCACCCATTTTTCAAAGTCTCACCCCTTCGCTTTTGACGCTTCATAACTTTGGCTGTATTGCATGTACGAAAAAGCCACTAAGTGAAACAACATGTCTAACATTACCTTGGCAAGATTTGAAAAAGCGTTTTTGAGATATAATGTTCTAAATATAATGGTCTTCTCGTTGTTAACTTGGAATTTGCTTTGCCTTTCTTTATCCACAACAAAAAAGTAGCAAGAAAGTGAGTATCATCATCACCGGTCATGAGACCTCCTGGATTTCTGAAACGGTTCCCATGGGGGCCGTTTCTCGAAATTCGTGGTAGCTTTAAGGGCCCGATAATTCAAGTCCCATAAAGTTGTCGGGCGTTTCTCTAAATTACCGAGACTTTCGAGAAACGGGCCCCACAAAACCCTAGGGTTTATGGAAACTCAAGGGAAGGCCTGGGGTAAGGATTGTCAAAGGATTTGCGGACCGTTGGACTGGAAGTCGGAAATTGATCAGTTCAGATACAGCACAACAGAGCACAGCAGCTACCGTGTCGGAAAACGGAGTAGATCGCTCTTCATTTTTACGGTAGCAGGTGGTTCTTTTTTACGGACCTAAGAGGCGATTCACATCATTTTCGGAACAAAAGAAAACGATTCAAGCACGCATCACATTCATTACTAAAATTACGATAAACTTGGTATGAAAAGAAAAAAACGCATTGGAGACCTTTAGATCCGATGACGAGGACGACTTCGGTTTTTTGCGAAAATATTGTAGTGACGGAAACTAGTTATCAAATGCTAAAAGTTTTGTCTTTTTGTGATCGGGAGAGGGCTTAACCTCGTTCAATGAAAACAACCATGATAACCTTTTTTGGTGAAAAAAAGTAAAATTACTCTTTTCGGGGATGTCTATTATTTCAGAATACGTGAAAAAGTGTTGAGTCATATCTCGTCCTTATAGTCTTCCTGGTTCTCGAATCTGAAGGTCGCAATTAACACTTCACAAGAATACAACAAAGGCCCGATCACGGCTCGCGAAAATACACCATACCACCCTAGTTAATAACAAAATTACTCACTGCCACCTGAGGAGCACGGTCTCAAGACCAAGAGAGGTGATAACTTACCATACTGAAAAAAACATTAATTTAATGAAGTCCCCCGCTTGAAAAAGGTTTGGGAAACGGGGTAAGGTTCATTTGAAGAACTGTGCGTACCTGTAAAAAAAAATTCTAGTCACTCCCCTGCTAACACTTAGCTCCGAAGCCGCCTGAGGGGTGTAAGAAAAAAGGGAACGCAATGACACCCAGTGATAAATATGATAAAAATTTGATTTATTTTGTGTTATTCCCGGCAGCTGCGGAGCCAAAGTCCGAATTTTGATAATTCAGAATTGGCGTATCGGTCGAAAGTCGTTGAAGAGAAGCTTAATTCACAAGTTGCCTCATTAAGGCGAGCAAATAAGCGCCAATGGAGTCGGATCTTTGATCGACAGAACAAGACTCTTAATTGACAGTGTGCGTCATTGGGGCGAACAAATAAGCGCCATTTGAACGGAACTCTCTGATCTAAAAAACGTGCCAATACCCTTAATTGACCATGTACGTCATTGGGGCAAACAAATAAGCCCCATTTGAGCGAAATTCTTTAATCTACAAACCGTGCCAATACCGTTAATCGAAGATGTGCGTCATTTGAGCGGAACTGTTTGATCTACAAAACGTGCCAATACCCTTAATTGACAATGTGCGTCATTGGGGCGAACAAATAAGCGTCATTTGAGCGGAATTCTTTAATCTTTAAAACGTGTCAATACCTTCATTGACAATGTGCGTCATTGGGGCGAACAAATAAGCGTTATGTGAGCGGAGATCTTTGATTTACAAAACGTGCCAATACCCTTAATTGACAATGTGCGTCATTGGGGCGAACAAATAAGCGTCATTTGAGCGGAATTCTTTAATCTTTAAAACGTGTCAATACCTTCATTGACAATGTGCGTCATTGGGGCGAACAAATAAGCGTCATTTTTGCGGAATTCTTTAATCTTCAAAACGTGTCAATACCTTAATTGACAATGTGCGTCATTGGGGCGAACAAATAAGCGTCATTTGAGCGGAATTCTTTAATCTTCAAAACGTGTCAATACCTTTATTGACAATGTGCGTCATTGGGGCGAACAATAAGCGGTATTTGACGGAATTATTCAATCTTCAAAACGTGTCAATACCTTAATTGACAATGTGCGTCATTGGGGCGAACAAATAAGCGTCATTTGAGCGGAATTCTTTAATCTTCAAAACGTGTCAATACCTTAATTTACAATGTGCGTCATTTGTGCGAACAAATAAGCGTTATTTGAGCGGAAATCTTTGATTTACAAAACGTGCCAACACTTTTAATTGACAATGTGCGTCATTGGGGCGAACAAACAAGCGCAATTTGAGTGGAATTCTTTGATCTGCAAAACTTGCCAATGCCCTTAATTCACAATGTGTGTCATTCGGTATCAAATAGTGCTGTTTGGGAGAAAACACGCCAATGCGCTTAATTGGTATAGTTCGTTATTTGGTTCGGGACTTTTTGATCAACAAAACGCAGTAACAAACTTAATTGACTTTTTTTTTTCGCCATCGAGATGAAATACAAACCTAACTGGGTCGGAACTCCTTGATCTTCGAATAATTCCAGAACTTTTAATTAAAAAAGTGCCTCAAATGTTCGGCGTAACAAAGAAAGTTCCTTTGGAGTCGAAGCAACACCATAATACCTTTAATTGACAAATGGCGTCATTCTGAGTCTGATTGGCAGCCTCAATTGGGTCAGAAGTCTTCGATCTTCAAACATGTCAAGACGCTTAATTAGCTACGTGCGTCATTTGGGAGATAAAATGAAGTCTTGATTAGGTTAAACAAGAATGAAATTCAAGGGACATTTGTAGCATTTGCCACATTTGGATGGTGAATTTTATGTGGAAGCATGGATTCACCTAAGTTTGTCGAAGAGTGTATTTCTGTTGAACTAAGAGAATAAGTCCCCATCGTTGGAAAGAAGGCAAGATATTCACCTCCTTCAATAGCCAAGAATCGCACGGTGGATTCAACGGCCGACTACGTTAGCGTTAATGGCAGATATCACCAGATCACATTGCCGACTCTTACAGAGGGCAGTAACAAGAGATCATTATCCTGCAGCGAAGTCTTCAAGATAAAGGGAATGGCCTTCAGGCTTTCCAAAGACAAGATGGATGCATTGAAAACTGACATCTTCAAACCACTGAATTCGTGTGAAATTTTGTTAGCTAGAATAAAGGCCAGCGATTATAGAGGGATAACGGTCACCTCAATCCATGAACTGAACAGTCTGTAAGCTTTAAGTTATCTGTTTAAATGGGTCTTGTAATCAGTTAAGGTATTTAATGTATGACGTCCGTGCTAAGACAGTTCTTAAAAATCCTCTCGATACGTTTGCGAAAATCAGTACAGAAGATCATTATAATACATGATTATCAGGAAAGAAATGTTTCTCTGTCAAATTCTCCAGAACTTAAAAATGAAAAGGTCTATTACTAGAACTGGTGTGTCTATTTGGAATTTTATTCTACTTTCTGTTAAAACTCTCAACATATCTGATTTTCGTAAAAAATAAAATCACTACTCCTTACTTGAGAAAAGGTCTGTCGACTAACTGCTGCGCCTCTTTTTTTGTTTGTTCGTTCGTTTGTTTGTTTGTTTTTTTGTTCTGTTTTGCTTTACTGGCGATCTTTAGCCAAAGGGAGTTCAAGACAAACGCCAATAGGCCATCTCCGAGTTAAAAAAAACTCTCACTTTCAAACCCGAGGCCTTTCTTGTGAAAACAAATTATATTTGTATGAGAATGAAAAATCATTTTCATATCAATGACTATGCACTTAGCCTCGCTTTGATTCAGAGGCTTGGGACTACTCGGAGATGGCTTGTATTGGCTATTACCAAGTTGCTTTGAAAACTGGGTCCAAATTTGCCCCCCAAAACAGTACTACAATGCACTTCGACACAACACCTACAATCTTGGGGAACTCAAATCAAGGATGAAGCAGTGCAAAAGCCAAAACGCGCCATTTTCCCATCCTAGATTTGAGGGGAGGGGGCGGGGGGCAAAAATTTCCCATCTATTTTGTCCAAGATTGTAGCAAGCTGTTTTCTAGTACAACCTCAACAAATAAAACTTTTAAAGGCGTTTGTTTAGCTCTTGCGGGGAAGTTTCTTCAAAAGGAGTTGTGAATTCTGTTTGTATTTAAAATAATTCTGTAAAAAAGATTATTAAATTTAGTTTTAAGCTTATTTATGAACAAGTCATCTAAATAAAGTAACGCAAGACTTAAGCTTAATTTGCATTTGTAAACAAAAAACTTTTTCACCGGTTTTATCGATAACTATTCAAGTCAAAAAGACAAAGCTTTATCTGTTAAAACTTCCATGTATTTCGGAAATAGCTTGCTAGATTAGTTGTGAAATTTCTTAGTTTGTTTACGGCAGCAAACCGGGAAAGCATTTTGCTCGCAACCTACGCGAGTTTGGCGTCGCTCGCTCGGAGGAACTGGAGGTGAATCAGTGAATAGTGCAGGATATTCACTGATTGAGTAGCCAATCAGAGCGCGTGAAAAACACTATCCACTGTTTTAGTATATACTAAACGTTTTTGTAATGATACACTTTATTTAAAGAGGGTAGCACGGAATAGTTACAGAAACTAGTAAACTTGTGGCCCTCTAAAGTTTTTAGCTTGTAAGTTTTGTTTTCCCATTTCAGACCACGTGATGGTACCCCAGAGAATTGTTTTTTCAAGTTGCGTCTTATGCAGGTGCATCCAGTTGCCTATGTATGCATAATTAATGCAAAGACAATAGGCAAATTCCCTGGAAAAAATCACGTGGTCTGAATTGGGAAAACAAAACATACAAGGTAAAAAGGTGTATTGTTACTTTTTCTCGTCAGTTTGCTAGACAAAAAGCTGCAGAACTGGAAGATTTTCAAGGAAGTACTGCGCCTTTGGGAGAAGGAGTCTTGGGTTAGTCTAAGCAGATAATAAACACATACGCTTTTTTAAGAGTGGCAATGTTTGTTGCCACCCTAATTATAACTAATGGCAGGGTGAAACGTTGACGTTTATTGGCTTCAAAATTCAATGTGTAGAATACTTCGAGTGTTACTTAAAAGTGCAGCAACGTTTTCACCTGAAAAAAAAAACTGATAACGTTCGTCCCAGGAAAAAAAATTTCATCGCGAAGTTTTCTACTTCGATCAATACTTGAAAAAAAAAGTCTTTTCATTCTTGTCAACAGAACTGAGTAGTACGGTATTAAATTGGATGTCACTAACACAAGGAACATGGACGGACAACAAGCAGAATAACGGGAAAATGAAAAATGAGAACAGGACAAAGAATGGATTATGGGTTACTGATAGGGCTAGGGTTGACGTCAGCTTTTCGTCCTATTTTTCATTTTCTCGGCGTCCCCCGTCCCTAGTCCCCAGACCCTGTTCCTAGTTTTATGAAGGTTGGGCTTAGTAACTGCTTGCCTGAAAGTAAGAAGGGCTTTGTGTACCCTCACAAACGGTGCCACAGGAAAGTAATGCTCAATAGCTCCACTTACACTGCTGAGTTGAGTTTCGATAAGCTTGACTGGGGAGAATAAGCAACCACGGCGGCAATGGTAGCGAAAAACGCCGCTTTTAAAAGTGAATTCGCGCTAATTCAACCTTGATTCTAAAGGACTGTATCTAAAAAAATAGTTGTCTTGTGTTCATGTCCTCCATAGTCGTGTAACAAGGACAAAAAAGTGTACAAAAAAGCGCGAGTCACGTGCAAACTAAGTTGTATTAAATCCACACTGTCATAAAATTGTTTGTGTCTTGTAGACTCGGACAGCGGACTTTCCCCAGCAAAAAGAAGGCGTTTAATCAAGCAGGTAATTGTAACCTGTGTTCAGGCTTTTATTTCTTAGAGATGGTCTTCTTCAGGCGATAGTGTTGGTAACTCAAGAATTCATTGGTTGATACGCGTACTATTTATACGAAAATTTTGGTAAAAATTTCCCTTTAAATGGGAGTGGTTTTTTTTCTTTTTGCACCGGGCGAAGGGCTGTACCATGTACAAAATACCGGTAAATTTTGTCGCTTTCTCTCGAGAGGAAGCCTGGCACTGGTAAACAAACAAATTGTACAGAATCGGTCTTTCCGGGAAAAAGGTAATACCTTGGAAGGTATTACCTTTTTCCGAAGACATTCCACTGGCATAAACGGTTCCATTTGAATTCTTCTGGAATTACCTGATTTTCCGTTCAAATGGTAAGCGCTCCAGTAGTAAGGGTCAGTGATAGTGACTATCATCGGTGAGACAAACGGTAAACGAGCCCTATCATAAACATAAAATGATCTTTTTCATTATATTGGGATGCTTTTGTTTGATTGTTTGTTGGTACTTTGTTACTTCTTTTCATCCGGTGGTTGGTTTGGTTGGCTGATGCTTGATTAACGGCTAGATTACGTAAAAATCGGCTGCAGTGCTATCTATTTGCCACAACTCGCTTTTTTTTTCTTTTTTAGGAAGGGGAAGAAATTATCAAAGATTTTCTAAGTCAGGTGGCGAAGTTACCCATTGAAACCATGACAGACGATCAAACCACGCAGGAAGTATCAAAATTAAAGGAGGAAGTCCTCGCAAGAAATAATCCTTACATACAAGAGCTTTTGGCCAAATAAAAAGCCCTATACGGTCAACCAGCTAGCGCAGTGCTAAAATGTATTCCTGGAGACTCGATGCACTTTACTCAGCGTTTTCGTTGACAGTGGCGATAATGCCGTCTTGTCACTTCTTCACCTCTTGTGATGGAAACTTGAAAAAGTTAAAACTGCAACTTACAATGATATATGAGATACTGCTATTAAGTTCTATAAAGAGATTGTTACAATGACTGTGTAGTTTTTTATAAGGTAAATAGGCAGAGGAGCCTGCAGATTTAAATATGCAAAAGCAGCTATTAAATAAAAAAACTTCTTTAGACGAAGTAGTTTATTTTGTGCCTTACGAGGTCCCTTTGCCTCATTATTCCGTTCGTCCGATGCGTTTCGGATCACGTGGTCTGAGCGAGTTTCTTGGCCGTTGCAGACAAATCACGTCTTTTTTAAGGCTCCGAATCTCGCGAAAATGCCGTGACGAACGGGGTCACGCAATTACGTATAAAAAGCCGCAATTTTCGCAAAATTAGGGTTAAACCTTTAAACTTTTAAAAGGCCTGGCTTGCGGCCACTTAAAATCATTCGCCCAGAGATTTGTTTTGATTTTCTGATAGATTGATATCTAATTAAGCCAAAAAAAGTTATTTCACGAATTCTAAGTTATAATGCAAGGTTAAAATTTGCAATTTTTTATCCCTATAATTTGGCTGCGTAAAAATCGCAAATAGGGCCCATTTTTAACTATACCTTTTGGGCACAAAAATGTTTTCACAAATCTATCATTTTATAAGAAAGAGTAAAAAAACTATACGTGTTGATCAAAAACTGCCAACTCGTTGTAGTTTGATAGACGAGACCATGAAAGTTGTGAAAAACTCCGCTTTACCGGGAGTGGATTCAACCTCGTTCCCTGGGTTCTCTCCTACCCGCCCTACGGAGCGAGAGAGGGTACCGCTCCGTAGGGCGGGTCGGAGAGAACCCTGGGAACGAGGTTGAAGTGGATTTTGAGCTCCAAGCGGGCATAATAAGTTTTCTCGATTTTTTAAGGAAAGAACACGTTATTCAAAAAAACTAACTATAGCCTGTTTTTACTCATTAAGGGTTATCAATGAGCAAAGAATGAGCGAATCGAATATTGCACTTGGTAAAGTCACTTGGGGCTCTATTCTAGGCAGCCGTTCTCTGTTAAATGACCGACAATCCAGCAGGACAGTCGTATCGACACATTAATGTCGTTTCGATATTTCCCTCAAGTCTATGAGCAATGATCAGTTGGTTTGTAAACGCATCAATTGTTCACGCAAGACCAATACCGAATAAGTGCCGCACACTGTCCTCGAGAAACGTCACACCCGCCTCCAAACAACTACGCAGCAGTTTTATAATCACGGGGGGGGCACTTGGGTATTTTTTGGGTGGGTATGTGCCGCCCGGGACTCCAAATTAGCACCCCGTTCTAAAAAAAAATTCCTCTAAAATTGATACCCCGTCCTAGAATTCGCCCTAAAACTGATACCCCGTTTTAGAAATGGGCCAATTTTTTACACTCCGTTCTAGGGTGCAAAGAGTACAACAGTTTGCTTGTTAACGCATTGTACCGTATTTTTAAAGCAATCTGACCTTGAATAATTTCAAATGGCTGCTTACAAAACTGGAGCTTTCGTGCGTTCGAAATATTATACCCCGTTCTAGGAAACGCCTCTGAAATGGATACCCCGTTCTAAATCAGGAGCTTCAAAATCACGACCCCGTCGGGCGGCACATACCCGTATAGGTAATATATGGGAGTACCCCCCCCCCCGGAATAATTCAGAGTAAAATATATGACATTGCTTGTCCTAAACCAACGACAAACATGTATTTACGGGAACGAAAGAGAAGATTTTTTTTCAGTTGCAATCAATTTGTGTTTTCCTTAGCTTTCTTTAAAACAAGAAAACACTCTTGCTTTTCTTAACTACTACCTTCATTTGACATTAAGTGAGCAAAAAAGAGCTAAAAGGAATAAATTAGGGACGTTATTTACTATGTTCAGAGATCTTTTACTTCTCGGCTTAACGTTGGCCAAATTGAAGTGAAATTTCTCAATCTTTACCAATATATTCGGAAGGCACGGCCTTCCTTCTTCGCCGTATTGTGCCCACTCTTCACGTGGCTCCGCCGCAAAAACAATACGGAACTCTTCGGCCGCAAAAACAATATATACAGCACTCTTACGCAAATCCCGCCAGCTACGCAGGCTACATTTTCTGCAGTTCCGCTTATATTCCTGTGCATGTTTTCTGTCATGATCAGATTTCATTGGGGTAAGTAATTATTGCGTTGGTTATTCAGCTTATTCATGCTCACAGATTAACTCAGGCTAATTGTTTGTCGTAATTTTGTATAATAGGAAGCTTTGTATGTGCTGATCAAGACCCACTCGTTCGCCACACACTGATTAAAGAATTTGATCAGCATACTAAATTATCGCTACTGTCATGAGTACTGTTCGGTGCACGGTCGTGCATGGTATAGAATTGGGATGACAAAAAGGGTTTATCTGTTATGACTTTTTCAAAACCGTTATAATTTTCGCGTCAACATCTGAATCAGACAGAAATAGACCTTTTCACGGTTTATGACGCCATCGTGGCTGGGAGCAAATACGGCTAAAATTAACGCCGCTCGCTACGAAGAGGCGGATTTCCAACATTTGCCACTACTTTAAAGAGTTTTATTGATATCACTCATTCAACAGAAAATAAGGCTCTTAAAGAAGGTATGACGTTCGAACGACGTTCGTAAATTAGAATTATAAATCTTCTCATGTGGCTTCTAATTTCATGGTAATTTTGCATAATGTTGATTAGAAGATTAAGGGTTTCTATGAAATCTTAAAAATTCGTTTACGGTCGTTAAAACCTGAACTTCTTCTTTATACTTCATGAAAATAATCTCAATACAAATCCCATACATTCACTCTGATTTTTCTGTGTTTGCCCCCCCATCCAAGATGGCATCATAAACGGTGAAAAGCTCTATTCCTTGTTAACCTGAGATCAGGCCCAATTTGAGCGGTTCTCATACATTCTCTCTAACGGCTACCGCTGAAATTGGGCCTGATACAATCTATACAAGTTTGTGCTCGTTACGGCCAGATTTTGGCCGTAACGCTGATTGGCTGTTAGAACAATGCCACAAGATCTGATTGGCTGTCAGAAACGCCGGAAGTTGAAAGTGCTTACTCCTCGCGTGGTTGTTTTCGTGAATGATCCGTCGTCGGTGGAGAGAAGGATCGATTTTGCTGTCTTTTTTATGGTTTTGTGGTCTTATGGTAGGAAAATGTGCCTTAATATGTACCATGGAAATTCAGAAAATTCATGTGGTTGTTCATATCTTCTCAGGATTTGCTTTATTTACGGAAAGTGAGTGTATCGCGGGGTTGAATCCCTGTGCAAGTTTTTGACCGCTAACAAGGCGCATTTTGCATTGATTTACCAACAAACGGGTGCAAATCAAAATACTGTCCATCGCAGTCGCGGGTCCAAAGTCGCGGTCGCGGGTCCAATGTCGCGGCCGGGGAAAATGATTTGGAGTTCGAGGTAACTGAGTGAAAACGACTGATATGAAAAAAATATAAAGGGAAAAAAATCGTTTTTATGCATGATACTCTACGGTAGCCAATTTACAGGTTACGGATGTTAGAGTCAACAAAATAATGTCTCAAGAAAAGACCTAAAAGAAAAAGCTGGCCGACTTTTGTGTTCACCGCAAGTTCATTTTGTTTTCTTTCTATCGGGCCCAGTTATGTATAAATTCAGCTTTGAATGTACTTGTGCATAGTAGTATCTGATAAAAAATGTTACCATGAGTTACCATTGTTTTCTTCTTGTCTATGAATCTCTCACAAATGCTTAGGGGTGCATTCACTGAAAAATGTGCGATACACTTCATAGACTATAAATTATAAACGTTACACCAGCCTAAAACCTTTTTTTAAAAAAAGGCTAACTTGGGCTCAAAAAGCTACGAGTCTGTCGGTAGAAGAAACCAGAACTGTTTCAATTTTAATAAATGTTTTCGGCAAAAATAAAGATAACGCTCGTTGAATAACTGCCTGGTCGCAAACTCCCAAAATAAACTCTTTGCACATGTAACTGGAAAGAGGAGGAGAGACGTTGGGCTTGAAGTGCCCGTAAAGTACATTCAAGCGGGTATTCAAGGCATGAATTTAATATAGAAACAAGTAATAATCCACAGCAAGAGGGGATAAAGCTCGAGCTTTATCCACTCTTGTCCACAGAAAGGAGTTTGTTCCCACTAACGATTGAAATCCGGAATCCAAGTTCTACCAAGAGAGAATAGATCATAGTCTCTTGGTTCTACTGACAAAGACTTGAATCCAGTACCTGGAATCTGGAATTACTTACCTAATTTATTCTCTTTTCTTAGCTCTGGTGGAGTTGATAACTTACCGTTTTCAGTGTCTGGTTTACTTTCTTTTTCAGTTTCATGATTTTGGGCGTTATTATTTCCTTACCTACTTACTCACTTAGTTACGATGCATGTTTTCAAGATTTGACTGAGACGCAAATTGAATGACTTCCTATTGTCAGGTTGTCCTGGTTGCCATTTAGGTTAAGAGAACAAGAAGTTATATTGAACACTCAGGGTTGCCGTCTCAGTTGTAAAAATAAAAGCATTAAGCAAAAATCTTGATTCGAGGAACAGACTCTTTTCTGTGGATTATTACTTGTTTCCACATTAAATTCATGCCTTGAATTCCGCTTGAATGAAGTTTCATGCGCCTATTTACATTTTCTTTCAGTTTTGCCGAAAACATTTGTTAAATATAAGAGTTCTCGTTTCTTCTACCGACAGACTCGCAGCTTTTTGAGCCCGAGTTCGCTTTTTTTAAAAAAAAAGGCTTTAAGTTGTTGTAACGTTTATAATTTGTAGTCTATGAAGTGTATCGCATATTTTTCAGTAAATGAACCCCTAAGCATTTGTGAGCAATTCATAGACAAGAACAAAACAATGGTAACTTTAATTAATCAGATACTGTTATGCATAAGTATATTCAAAGCTGAATTTGCACATAACTGGGCCCGATAGAAAGAAAACAAAATAAACTTGCGGTGAACACAAAAGTCGGCTAGCTTTTTCTTTTACGTCTTTTCTTGAGACATTAGTTTGTTGACTCAAATATCCGTAACCCGTAAATTGGCTACCGTAGAGTATCGTGTAGAAAAAAAGATTTTTTCCCTTTACATTGTGTTCATATCAGTCGTTTTCACTCAGCTGTTACCTCTAACCCCAAATCATTTTCCCCTGCCGCGACATTGGATCCGCGACGGCGACATTGGACCCGCGACCGCGACTTTGGACCCGCGACCCGCGACCCGCGACTATAAGTCAAACTCATCAGGCTCTCTTTTCGTTTCGCCTTGCCCACCGGAATGTAATTTTCAAAGCGAAACGAAAATAGAGCCTGATCTCAGTTAAATTCCTTGTACGTCTACGCACAGGAAACCCAGGCTCACTGTTTGTGTCACGTACTCGTTTCATAACATGAGTAAATATAGACACCATATTGGGCGAAGCTTAAGCCTGGAAATTTGCTAGAAAATGGAAATAAAAATCGATGAAACTTACCATGTGGCGAGTTGTTGTTGGCCTTAACCCATTCGCTCCTGGAGATTTTGCCGAAAAACGCGTTTTGAAGCTAGTCGAGTGGTTTTCTGGTCACTGTCGTGCTATAAAGAGCTAAAACTTACCACAAACTGGTTTACAGGTCGTACAATTGGCGGCCTTCATCCTCGGAGACCCAGGGGCAGTCAGTCGGGTCGAGAGAATAGGCGCGACGAAAGTTTTCAAGTACGGGCGAAAGAGCCCCTGGGGCTCTTTCGCCCGTACTTGAAAACTTTCGTCGCGCCTATTCTCTCGACCCGACTGACTGCCCCCTGGGTCTCCGAGGATGGGCGGCCTTCTGATCCAGATGCAAAATATCAGCTTGCGAAGTTCGGGCATGCGCAGAAAGCAAAATTTCGACAGTTTTTGGGTTTAAAAGTGACACAGCAGTCTTGACTTTTACTTTTCGCTTTCTCTCCTCCCTTCTTTTTTCGCTTTTCTTGCCTCATTTTTTTTTCTCTTGCTGGGCATTTAGTAGGCTTCATTTTGGTGGGAAGAGTTTTTAGGAAAGCTTTTAGGATCTTAGGATTAGGTGAAAGGAAAGGTAGGTGGGTAATGGAACAAGATTTTCATGGAGATTTTCAGGTCCTTGTCACGTGGTTTTTTGCTTCTTTCTCCGGTGTCCTTGACTGAATTGTGCTCATTCTGGTATGGTTTGAAAGATCTCTTCACTCTGCACAAGTTAGCGAAGAAAGTTGTCCTTGACCGTTAAAACTGATGACGTCACAAAGGGTAGAAAGGACCTGGATCCGCACGGGCGGTTACGGGCGGTTCAGGGGCGAATGGGTTAATATGCACACGAAGTTTCGAGAAAAATAGTCCTCTTCATCTTTCCCACTACACTATGTAGGAAAGATCATGAAGCAGACTATTTTTCGGCTTCATCTTCCCCACTATACTATGTAGGAAAGATGAAGCAGACTATTTTTCTGGAAACTTCGTGTGCATATTAAGGACAACAACAACTCGCCACATGGTAAGTTTCATCGATTTTTATTTCCATTTTCTAGCAAATTTCCATACCTAAATTTCACCCCATATCTTCTCCATAGTTACCCAGGTTATGAAACCCGTACAAGACAAAACAGTGAGCCGAGATTACCTGTGGCTTACGCAGGTCTACGAGATCATCAAAGACTGGATTTACATCGTGACAGCTAACGGGCTCTCTTTCGTTAAAAATATGTTCACCAAAGAGGTCGTTAGCATCCATTTAGCCTGAATATTCCGCCGAGAAAAGGCGGTGGGTCATTCGTTCAGCCACGATCAAAACTAACGCTTGTTTCTTATATTGGAATAGGAACCAAACAATAGAACACTTTATGTTCTCTTGGAACCAAAGGAATGTTCATTTAAAATTATTTATGCAATCATTTACGATCGACCGGAGTTATCTCTGTGTTCCCGTTTGCAGTCTAAACCTGACTTCTCCCTAGTCAGTATCATTTGTAAGAGGGCACGAAAAGCTAAGGCTGAGTCATACATAACTTACGAGGGATAACAGCGAGAGGGCATGATCTCAGGCTTAGTCATACAAGGTTTCGTCAACAGGTACAAATTAAAATGACGGGTGACCTCACTATTACTCAATCTAGGAGTGAAAGGGTTAAAGACGCCTGAATTCATGTCTGAAATCTAGGCTAGGGTTAAAGTGCCAAGAGCAATTTTCGTGCATTCAGTTATGATCAAGAATCAACAATTTCATCGGCGGACAGAAAACGAACAAAATTAATGAACTTTTGTATAACCCACTATGTTCTCTATTGCTCTCTGTTTTTTATCTCCTTCCTCGGTGCTTATCCTTTACCTCTAGAATATCTGTTTTCCTCTAGCCTGTTTGCCATTCAAACGAAGCGCCGCTCGAAACGGCCAAGAACACCAGAAGTTATTATTGACTTTTAGTCACCATTATTTGGTTTGAAAAATTGAGACACTGAGATCGAATGATAATATACTTCTCGTTAATAATGATGTAATAGACGCCTTCTCTCAAATAAACTCCTCTTCTTTCTAGTAAAGATCCTCATCCCCCCTCACGCTGTTATATTTATGTTTGATGCCCCTCTCTAACGAACGCCCCGACTATAACAAATCTCCCAAAAGCAATTATTTCAGAATACTGGAACAAAGTGACAAAGAGGAAAATCGTTCAATTAACTAGTAATCAGTTGGAAATTCCTCAGTAATTAACAAGGGTTTACACATTCAGCATTTTGTTCCATAAGATCAACCGAGTGAGTGAATGCGTTCTTTGATATTTTAGATGTGCTCAATACGTCAGCACCTTTCTTCCGGCCTGTTCTAGCTCGGTAGCATCTAGGTCAAACAAGACCCACCTCGCGTTTTCGTTTTCCGCAAAAGTGGACGGTAAGGAATTCGCTTTCGAACTACATTAGTTTTGTTGGAGGTGGTACATTTATCTGAATGAACGCCTCCTATTTTTTAAACGACCCCTATTCTTTAGACTCCCAGTCTGTACATACATGTAGGCTACCAAGTAAAACGGTTTTCCAAACAAATCTTAGAGGTGCCTTACTGGTAACGAACTAGCTCCCGGGCAAGAAATTTGTGTTTGAAGCTCACGCGTAGCCTACTACCTAGCGGCATGAGTAAATCTTACTCCTGAAATTGTAGATACCTAACCTGCCGTCTCGTATTGAACGGTAGTTTATAATTAGTGACTAGCTTTTCATAATCGTTTGGAGTTCTGTGTTCATCACCGGATGATACTCGACATTTTCAATTTAATAAGTGAAAAACCCAATCTTTGCCTCGCAAGAAAATAACTAAAAGGCAGTGTCTCTTCCAGGATGATAAGGTGATGATGGAATACTCAAAGGAGCAACTAAACTACTTCCGACTCTGCTACATAGCATTCGATTTGGTTCCAGTGGGACTGCGGCAGATTTTCAAAAAAGAGTGGGATTTCCTATATAAAGCAACGTTACTTGGAGAATGGAAAGACACGGCACAAAATGGTCATGATTTCTACAAAAAGGAATCTAAAGCAAGTCGCAGGAAAAACTCTCGGTGTCTAGCAACAATACGGAATGGTAACACGGCAGAGTGGGACTGCACCTGTTTGTTTTTTGCCACCCTGTACTCAGACAGCATTGGTACCACATTAAGTCCAGCTGTCCATAAAGAGGTCGATGATATTCGTCAGATGCGAAACGAGATCGCTCATATCACCGAGGCAAAGTTGACAGATGCCGACTTTCAAACTTTTGTAGACAGAGTGTTGAACGCTTTTACATCCCTTGGTCTTGCTATAACTGAGATTCAAGAAATAAAGAACCAGACGACCTTTCCAACGACGGAAGTGGAAAAAATTAAGAAGCAAGCTCGTGATCTTCAAGCCGAGTTAGATAAGGCAAAAAGCAATCTTCAAAGTACAGAAGCTGCCCTAGTTTCAACAAAAGAAGAAAACAAATCTCTTACACAGGAAATAAGTGCCAACCTTCAGTCATTTTGCATTCTCGCATCGCGTCCACCACATGTTATCATTAGGCGCTCGCATGACATTGAAAGAATCACCAAGAAAATGGAGGAACTTTACAGTGGTTCCAGTGGAACAGTCAGTACAGTGTATTTGTCAGGAAATCCAGGATGTGGCAAGAGCCAACTTGCACGGGAAATTGGACAACAGTTCTTTTCTGAACAAAACGATGAACTTATCTTTGCTGCGACACTGAACACAGAAAGCATTGAGACACTTGCCGACTCTTACCTCACCCTTGGGAGACACCTAGGGATAACAGAGTACGCGTTGACAAGCTTAGAATCTTCAAAAGAAGAGAAACCTATTGAAGCAATTAAACAGCTTCATCGCTTGATTTTGCCGAAGACCAGCAAGTTTACCAAATGGTTGATAATTGCAGACAATGTGATTGACTTACAGGTAGTCCGCAGCTTGCTTCCTCCAACTGGCAGTAAAGAATGGGGCCATGGACAAGTGCTGATAACCACTCAAGATGGTGATACAGTTCCTCAAAACGCCCCTCACACATATCATGAATCGTTAAGCAAAGGAATGAGGCAGGAAGAAGCAGTGGAATTACTGGAAACAGTATCGCAGATTTCAGAGCGAGAACAAGCAGAAGATGTCGCTGAACTTCTCGATTTTCAGCCACTGGCCTTAGCTGCTGCTGCTTATTACGTGCAAACTGTCGTGTCCATTGGGTCATCAAATTATAATTGGAAAGGATTCCTTCGAGACATATCATCATACAACCAGCGAAAAAAGACCGAAACTGTCCTTGCTAATGAGAGTTCAGCCTACAATAAAACAACAATGGCCGCAGTAGAAATGGCTATCCAAAGAGCTGTTGACACAGACGAGGTTCTTCGTCATACATTCTCTTTTCTTTCGCTCTGCGCTAACAACGACCTACCACTCGAAACTGTTTTGAAGTTCGTCAAAGCCCAAGTTAAAGACCAGCCTGAGGTTTTAATGAAGGCAAAGATTGTAAGGTCCTCTTTAAGTCTTGTTTATTCCGAAGAAGGGGGTGAACGAACTTCTTTCCGTTTACATAAAGTTGTGCATGAAACTTTAAAACGAGGCGAGATAGCTAACCTGAAATCATGTGAGAGAGACCACACCATGGCAGAAGCGGTAAAGAATTTCAAGTCCCAACTCCAAGAAAATTACAAGAATTATGTGTTTTGCAGAAAACTAATACCCCACTGTGAATCTTTACTTAAGCATATGACGTCAGAGTTTAGTTCGGATCAAAACACCCTTTTAAAAAGGTTTGCGCCCTTCGTAGATTTGGATACAGTTATTGATTGGCTACATACTCTCGCCGGGGTCTGTCAGCAAAGCTCCTATTTCTCCTTTGCGAAACTTGTAGTCAACTTAGCTTACGATCTACTGGGGAACTTAGACGACTTTTCAACACTTGCAATAACTTCTAAAGGGAAGGTTTTAAATATGAGTGGCCAATTGTACAACCGCTTGGGAGAATACAATCAAGCCAAAGAACTTCACGAGCAAGCACTGACGATTTTCAAAAAGAATTTTGGTGAAGATCATGCCGATGTAGCAGCAAGTTATAGCAACTTGGCATCAGTGTACGACCGCCTGGGAGAATACAATCAAGCCAAAGAACTTCACGAAAAAGCACTGACGATTTACAAAGGGATTTTTGGTGAACATCATGCCGATGTAGCAACAACTTATAGCAACTTGGCATCAGTGTACAACCGACTAGGAGAATACAATCAAGCCAAAGAACTTCATGAAAAAGCACTGACTATTCGCAAAGAGATTTTTGGTGAAGATCATGCCGATGTAGCAACAAGTTATAGCAACTTGGCATTAGTGTACGATCGCCTAGGAGACTATAATCAAGCCAAAGAACTTCACGAAAAAGCATTAACGATTTTCAAAAAGATTTTTGGTGAAGATCATGCCGATGTAGCAACAAGTTATGACAACTTGGCATTAGTGTACAACCACCTGGGAGAATACAATCAAGCCAAAGAACTTCACGAAAAAGCACTGACTATTCGCAAAGAGATTTTTGGTGAAGATCATGCCGATGTAGCAACAAGTTATAACAACTTGGCATCAGTGTACAACTGCCTGGGAGAATCATACAATCAAGCCAAAGAACTTAACGAAAAAGCACTGACGATTTACAAAAGGACTTTTGGTGAAGATCATGCCAATGTAGCAACAACTTATACCAACTTGGCGTCAGTGTACAACCGCCTGGGAGAATACAATAAAGCCAAAGAACTTCACGAAAAAGCACTGACCATTCGCAAAAAGATTTTTGGTGAAGATCATGCCGATGTAGCAACAAGTTATGACAACTTGGCGTTAGTGAAACACATCCTGGGAGAAAACAGTCAAGCCAAAGAACTTCACGAAAAAGCACTGACTATTCGCAAAGAGATTTTTGGTGAACATCATGCCGATGTAGCAACAACTTATAACAACTTGGCATTAGTGTACGATCGCCTAGGAGACTATAATCAAGCCAAAGAACTTCACGAAAAAGCATTAACGATTTTCAAAAAGATTTTTGGTGAAGATCATGCCGATGTAGCAGCAAGTTATAACAACTTGGCATTAGTGTACAACCGAAAGGGAGAATCATATAATCAAGCCAAAGAACTTAACGAAAAAGCACTGACGATTTACAAACGGATTTTTGGTGAAGATCATGCCGATGTAGCAACAACTTATAGCAACTTGGCATCAGTGTACAACCGCCTGGGAGAATACAGTCAAGCCAAAGAACTTCACGAAAAAGCACTGACCATTCGCAAAAAGATTTTTGGTGAAGATCATGCCGATGTAGCAACAAGTTATGACAACTTGGCCTTAGTGAACCACATCCTGGGAGAAAACAGTCAAGCCAAAGAACTTCACGAAAAAGCACTGACCATTCGCAAAGAGATTTTTGGTGAACATCATGCCGATGTGGCAACAAGTTATAGTAACTTGGCATCAGTTTACGATCGCCTAGGAGAATATAATCAAGCCAAAGAACTTTACGAAAAAGCACTACCGATTTTCAAAAAGATTTTTGGTGAAGATCATGCCGATGTAGCAACAAGTTATGACAACTTGGCATCGGTGTACAACCGCCTGGGAGAATACAATCAAGCCAAAGAACTTCACGAAAAAGCACTGACCATTCGCAAAGAGATTTTTGGTGAAGATCATGCCTATGTAGCAACAAGTTATAACAACTTGGCATTAGTGTACAACCGCCTGGGAGAATCATACAATCAAGCCAGAGAACTTAACGAAAAAGCACTGACCATTTACAAAAGGATTTTTGGTGAAGATCATGCCGATGTAGCAACAACTTATAACAACTTGGCGTCAGTGTACAATCGCCTAGGAGAATACAATCAAGCCAAAGAACTTCACGAAAAAGCACTGACCATTCGCAAAAAGAATTTTGGTGAAGATCATGCCGATGTAGCAACAACTTATAGCAACTTGGCAGCAGTGTACAATCGCCTAGGAGAATACAATCAAGCCAAAGAACTTTACGAAAAAGCGCTGACCATTCGCAAAAAGAATTTTGGTGAAGATCATGCCGTTGTAGCAACAACTTATAGCAACTTGGTATTAGTGTATTACTGCCTGGGAGAATACAATCAAGCCAAAGAACTTAGCGAAAAAGCACTGACCATTCGCAAAGAGATTTTTTGTGAATATCATGCCGATATAGCAACAAGTTATGACATCTTGGCATTAGTGTACAACTGCCTCGGAGAATCGTACAATCAAGCCAAAGAACTACACGAAAAAGCACTGACCATTCGCAAAAAGATTTTTGGTGAAGATCATGCCGATGTGGCAACAAGTTATAACCACCTGGCATTACTGTACAACCGCCTGGGAGAATACAATCAAGCCAAAGAACTTCACAAAAAAGCACTAACGATTTTCAAAAAGATTTTTGGTGAAGATCATGTCGATGTTGCAACAAGTTATAGCAATTTGGCATCAGTGTACGACCGCCTAGGAGAATATAATCAAGCCAAAGAACTTCACGAAAAAGCACTGACGATTTTTAAAAAGAATTTTGGTAAAGATCATGCCGATGTAGCAACAAGTTATAGCAACTTGGCATCAGTGTACGACCGCCTGGGAGAATACAATCAAGCCAAAGAACTTCACGAAAAAGCACTGACCATTCGCAAAGAGATTTTTGGCGAAGATCATGCCGATGTAGCAAGAAGTTATGACAACTTGGCATTAGTGTACAACCGCCTGGGAGAATCATACAATCAAGCCAAACAACTTCACGAAAAAGCACTGACGATTTTTCAAAAGAATTTTGGTAAAGATCATGCCGATGTAGCAACAAGTTATAGCAACTTGGCATCAGTGTACGACCGCCTGGGAGAATATAATCAAGCCAAAGAACTTCACGAAAAAGCAATAACGATTTTCAAAAGGATTTTTGGTGAAGATCATGCCGATGTAGCAACAACTTATAGCAACTTGGCATCAGTGTACAACCACCTGGGAGAATACAATCAAGCCAAAGAACTTCACGAAAAAGCACTGACCATTCGCAAAGAGATTTTTGGTGAAGATCATGCCGATGTAGCAACAAGTTATAGCAACTTGGCATCAGTGTACAACCGCCTGGGAGAATACATTCAAGCCAAAGAACTTCACGAAAAAGCACTGACGATTTTCCGAAGAATTTTTGGTGAAGATCATGAGTTTGTAGAAACGGTTCGTAGTCAGTTGGCATTAGTAAACAAACACCTTGGAAGCAGTCGAGCTAATTATCGGCTCACGAAAGCATGTTGTTTGATTCTTTAAATTGTCTTATTTGACCGTACTAGCCTGCGTATTATTTGCTTTACAGTAAATGGCCATCCAGGTATATTTCTGTATTTGATGGACTTCATATAATAATGCATTCAGAGTAACTGACTTTAACTGTCAACGAGCAGCTCTCGCGTCTTTACGAGTCAGCGGCATGATAAATCCGTGCGCGAAAGTTCCAAGTTTTCCAAGGCAGAATGAATCTTGAAGCGATGTAACATCAGGTAGTGCAAGGTAAATTTTATGAAATAATGCAGAACGGAGAATGCATTGTTTTCGAGCGAACAAGTGCGCGAAAGTTCCAAAGCAGAGCCACGAAATCAAGTACCAGAAGCTCCTACACATTACATTTTAACCCCAAGTTAGAGTTAACCAGTTTTTGAACAACTCAATCCCGCGTCCTTGGTTGAGGCACTCAACGAACGATTCCAAGTATAATGCATGAATGCGTTCCATGGTAAATGACGGACACATGACTAACTGCAGCCTGCATTCTCGTAAATTACGGTAATTTATGACATTTCTAAACAAATTGAACAGCGCGCGCGTATAGTCGATTTAAGCGCTCTCTCCAGTAGTGTCAATGGAGTTTCGCTAAAATTTGATCTATGTCAAGTGTTTTTATAAATACTCCAAGGAAATGCATGTACCGAGAAGGTCTGGGAAGACATCGTACCGGAACAAAATATTGAAGCCAAACGATTCTGCAGTGTTGTATAAAACAAGAACGCTGTTAAAAGCGTCATTAAGTCTCTCTTGCTTGGAGATTAGAAAAGAAATGAGGAAGCGATTTTTTCTGAACGAAACAGGATTTACTCGCTAAAGGTTTTCACTTCAGCTGGAGCGGGAGAGGTGACTGGGGACGAGACAGGCCTTCTACCCTAGGTGTACACGGTGACTATTGTAACTGAACGATAGCCATTTTTCTGGGCTGGTTTACAATGAATGCCAGATCTGTAGAGCTTTTTTATTCACGTGGTCAGCAGCAAATTTATTGGAACAAAAGAAAGGTTTTTCATAAGAACATGTGAAAACGCTCTGTAAGGGCGTGTTTTCATATAAAGTGGAGTGGATTCTGGAGTACAGTTGTGAAGTAAAGAGGTGGCCGTTAGCGGGAGGTTCGACTGTATTTGCACGAATTGAGTATCGATATCATTATGATTGTCTCTGCCCGCGTTTTTTACTTTTAAGGTCCACAGCCACCGCTTCATACCACAATGAAAAACAAAAGTGGAAGCATCTCGTTCGAAAGTGGAAGACCAAACATTGCACTCAAGAGAGGATAAAGGGGACAGAGAAGACATCCCCCTTACACACCCTATTCCATAGGTAATTCGTCTCGAGTTATTTTTAACACCACAGATCCCAAGGGGGATTAGACAACAGATAATCACATAGCGCGAATGTGTTCCGCGTGGATGACCCACGCTCAGAGACACGCGTCCTTCACGAATTGAAGCAGAACAAAATAGCGGAAGACGCGGAGAGCGATATTGCTATTCGTTTTGTCGACGAAAACGACTACAGACAGATTCCTGCAAAAGCTGTGTCAGCGAAACGGAAATGAAAAAAAAATCGCCCTTACTGGCTTGTTTCTAAGCATTGTTACAACGTTGATTCGAGCAAAGCTGAGAGTTCTAGCGAAGAAGATGAAAAGTCAGTGCAAGCGAGAAGGAAGCTGTAACCGAAACGGAGAGTGCGAAAGAAATACAAGAAAACGTAGAAAGGTCCTATTTCGATGATAGTTCAGCAAATGAAGCGAAGAGGAGGAAAAGTGCAGGGAACCTTAATCCTGCTCCTTCGAGTTCGACCGTTACCAAATCAAGCAAAAAGGCGCCGAAGAAATCAAATAAACGGAACAAGAGTCTTTCGGAAGAAGAGATGGAGCGATTCCCTTTTCCCAGGTGAGCGCCGACTCATTTCGCTTCAATATTCAGGAATGCTCTCGATCTCTTTACGTTTTCATTAGGGAGCTTTAGCAACGACGACGGCGACGGCAACGAGGACGTCAAAAAAGCAATGGGTTTATTACGTAAAACAACAACTTTGCACGTGCATCACGCTTTGTTGTACATTTCTTTACCGTCCTTGCACGACTACGACGTGAAAATGCCTAATTGCAAGTTTTATGGAGGACGTAAACAAGCGACGACGAATCTCTTTTTCTCTCTCTAAACTTGATTGCGGTCCTCAAGAAATCAACTCCAGGGAAATTCACCAACATTTGACTCTTTCAGCAAATTGGAATAAACGCGACAAAGACTGAAAAAACGGGAATTCATTCTAAAACCGACGATTTCGCTGCCGTTGCCGTCGTCGATGCTAAAGTTCCCTATTGCCTTTCGCCCGACGGCAGCACTAAACCATGGAATCCGGAATCCGGAATCCGGAATCCGGAAACGGAATCACGGAAATGGAAACGGAAACGGAATACGGAATCTGTGAAAGAAGGTTCCAAGCGATCGATTTGAAAAAAAACTATCAGCAATGACAATAACATAAATAAACAGATAAAAAAAGACACACATGAATAAATTTGCTGAGTAGAGGAGAGGAGACTGCTGTATCACTAGAGGAGTCGATTCCGGTGAAAAGACGCTTGATACCACTATCGGCAATGAATGCAAATTCTCATGGGACAGCAAAGCGAGGAGAAAAACGTTACTGACAAAAACTAGTGCCTTAAGATAAAGGTAAGTTATATGGAGACAGACTTCGTTTGAATCGTCAGAGGCGTCGTTTACATAACTGAAAGGCGACGCCGTCCAGTTTTTCTTAGTGTCTTTTTTGGGTTGTCTTCAACAGTGTTCAGTTTTATTTATCAAGACAACTTACTCAAGAGAACCATGGCATTGTGGAGTCCAAAGAGAAGAGAGAATTGTGCATGCATTTGCTTGATTCCGCAACCGATTACATCAAAATAATGCGCCATGTTTAATAAGCCTCTTCAGATCCACAAAAATACGGACGTCCACGTAAACTCAATTACCGGTACACCAGTATTCCATCAGTATTCAGCTTGGCGAAAAAGTTGAACTTATTGCTAAAACACCGGAACTATGGTTACGTCACCGGTCGGTCATGTGTGGAGTATTCAGTTTGGGGACAATCACGTGGTGTGGTCTGAAGCTAACTACTACTATTCTTGACAGTTGGCTACAAAAGTAATATTTAACTGTATTATTCAACCCATGATCTCGTGAATAAAAATTACCTGTAAAATTACTTTCATCGGCCTTGCAGTGCAGTAACCCACACCACGGCAAACCTTATCAAGACACAATAACAAGAATATATTTAGGGGAACTGTCAAGAAAGCTAAAACAATTTCTCCTTGGATTGTACTAAATTGTGTAATGTGAAATTCTTTAATTTTCTGTCATTGATATTTGATTCCGTATTCCGTTTCCGTTTCCGTTTCCGGATTCCGGATTTCATGTTTTAGTGCTGCCGACTTTACCCCGATTCTAACAATAACTCGAGACGAATTACCTATGGAATAGGGTGTGTATCGGGGATGCCTTCTCTGTCCCCTTTATCCTCTCTTGATTGCACTCCATCAATACTGATTACGAGGGGAAGGGACAAATGAAAAGTAACGCGGATGTTATGCTAGCATCGATTCATTTATAGACCCTTTGTTACAGTGTACTTATTTCACCTGATAAATGGCAAGGCTCAATAACAAGAGAAGCTTGGAACAAACTATCTCCAGTAAATAGTGAAAGTATGCTCCGAGCTTTGCCAGTCATTGGCTTCTACAAGGCGATTTTACAGATACCGTGGGTTAATTTGTTAACTTGAATTCACATGTAAGCCTCGTGAAATATCACTGACCTTATACCGTTGTTACCGTTCACCTGCTCGTTGTAAAAGGAAGCGTTTACAGCTGATTTCATTGCTATGTATACACCCGGATTTTTAGACATGATTCGACGGTCATGATTCGACGTGTCATGATTCAACACTAATCACGTGACGTATCGATTCGCAGTACGCAAACGGTTGCAAAAATAATTGAGAGTTCTGCCGTGGGATCCGAAAAAGTGAGAGAAAAATCTGGCTGGCAAGGAAAGCTTAGCACTAAAGGACATAAGTGTAACGAAGCTAGAATCCGGAAAAATGCGTTTTACCTGAAGAGGAAAGCTTTGTTGCCTGGAAAGCGGCGACATGATACAGAAATTATGATAACATATGATCAGGTGATAAACCTAGAGTTCGATTGCCGAGTTCGAATGTATTTCTGTAGGCGATTTCATAATGGACGAAATATTATCAATACGGCGAAAAGCGAAATAGTCCGATGGTTTATCGGTTTAGCCTTCTTCCGTATGACAAGGTTTCGGTATTTTGCCGTTGTAAATACCACCCGCAATTTACATGTAACAGTGATGCAAATTTAGTTAACAGGGAGGCAAATTTGTATTTCTTCAAGTTGGTACTTTTTCGTCCTTACTTAGCTTCTGCAGGGTTAAAAAACTACAGGAAAACTTGACGTTTTGCAGAAGAAATCAACAGATAAATTGATCAGTCTGCCGCTGTGAAAGATTTTGCTGGAGAGTTTGAAAGTTTGTCGACCATTGAAAAATATCACAATGTTCGGTCCTCGACCTATGACCCTAGTGAGCACAAATGAAGAAAACCATACATAAAAGAAAGCAACATTTGTTTTTATTGAAAAAGGGTAAAATATGATATTTCTTTAAAGATCAAGGTAAAAGCCCAAAAAAAGTTGAGAAAAGAGCCGAAAAACTTATTAATCGAGACGTCCACACGTCCGATAACATGTATTACGATCAGATTGCGTGACTTGT